AAAGAAAATTTGATCTGTGTCAGACTCGTAGCTTATGTATTAAACTTCACTAACTCGTCCTGCGCCATTTGTGAACGATTCCTCAAATTGTGTGACTATAGGAGTGGATGTCCAAGTGGATCCTGACAGGATCAGACTAAAATCTGATTGACATACAGAATAACACTGGCTTTTTCTGACAGTCTTAAACTCTGTTTACGAAGCATAACACAATAAAACAAGAACATTCCCATTATAATTCATGAGGCTGTCTGCACTAGACCGATTTTTTGCAGTGGAAACATGCGGTAAATCTCGGATTCCAAGATCGTTTGATGAGGGAACGCAATCAAATGTGTTAAAAAGGCCAAACATTGACAGCGATTTTCCAGTGTATTTGTGTAGTTTTAGTCTGTTACAGTAACACGAAAGGGAAATTTTGGTGTCGTTCCAAAACCGCATGTCTCGAAAAAAGGAGAAATTTATCGCTCAATGTTCAACTTGTGAAAATGAAGGGTGACCACAGTGTCAAGCTAAATTTTCACTGAAAAATATCAGTCTATTCCTCACTCAAAGCTGTCGTATGACTTCAGAAGACCTGAAATGTAGCTCACACATCATACATACTCAGAAAAAAATGGTGTAAAAGCGGTCACTGGAATGGTTCCCTCTAAAAAGGTTCTGATATGTAGCTACCTTTTAGTTCCCAATCAGTCGCTCACGTTCGACGTCACGTCGACGTAACGTCTCCCGATCCCTCCTTCAGGAAACAACGGTACTAAAATGTACACTTTTGGTACAAATGGTACATTTGAGCTATTAATAAATGACAGCTTTTGTACCTTTTTAGGAGTGTATGGGTGTTTTTATGATGCTTTTTGAAGTTTGCCATTCACTTTTGAAGTGGTCATTCACTTGCATTGTGTAAAGAGCAGTGTGAACATTCTTCAAAACATGTTCCACAGAAGAAAGGAAGGTTTGAAATTGACATTATAGTGAGTAAATGATACAAATGAATATGACTGAATATGTTAAATCTAATCAACAAAACTGAGGCAACAGATTGCAATCAATATTATTAATTAAATTTAACAAATTACAATTGAGTAATAAGTAACCAAGTGAGTTACTTAAAAGTTAACTATTTACAAATTTTTCTAAACAAAAATATCGGAATAACAGACTGACGTCAAAGATGAATTAAGACCTCTTTTTTATTGCCATCATTGAATAAACCTGATGTTAACAAGCAGAGTCACTTAAGGAGTAAACCGTAATTTTTAAGTCACCATTGTGGAGATCAGTGTGTTGGGCTCTTGACCCTTCAATCATTAACTTTAGATGTTGTTTGGCTGTTATACGTGATTTATCACCGCCAGATGAACAAGTAGAAAAGTTGATTTGATGGTGTTGGTTATGTTTTAATATAATCAATAATTCAAAATCGTTTGACCTAAATCACTGAACTCTATTTGTTTTTCCGATATTTTAAAAACTAATGTGTTTTTCCGATATTTTTGTTTAAAAAAATGTGTAAATTCTACTCATTTTAAATGGTTAACTTTTAAGTAATTCATTTGGTTAATTGCTACTCAATTCTAATTTGTTAAATTTAACTAATAATATTGATTGTAATCTGTTGCCTCAATTTTATTGATTAGATTTAACATATTCAGTCGTATTCATTTTCAGCCAAAAAGGAAGATTTTCATCATGACTGGCTGAACTATTTATTGATATACATTTCTGACTTTTAATCACATCTTGGCTTTTAAAGCATTTCAACAGTATCTTTTAAACGTGAACTACAGCAAATTTGTATGGTCCATTAAAGCTTTAAACAAACATTAGCATATTTCCATCTCTGTTTAGAAAGAGATTTGAGAATCCTCCTGTCTGTTATGCTCAATAATCCTCGTTAGGAAATGAATACCTTACAATAATCCACTGGATTCCACCAGCCAGCCATAAATAAATGATGTCGCTCGCGTGTCCTGGCTGGGAGGCTTTTCTAAGTAAGTGTGTCTGTAGAAATATATCCCATGTGGGGTGAAAAAGAAGAGAAGATTGAAAACGACACTAAACAGAATCAGAAGAAAGGAAGGTGTAAGGAAGCTGCTGATTGTTTGGTAGGTGGGTGAGTTTGGTGAGGTGTCCGAGATGGCAGAAGACCCCAGAGACGGAGGATTAGAGCAGATTTAGTGGATGTGGAGGTGCAGACGTCCTGCGGGGAGAGGCTCACATGTTTGCTTTGCTACTGGTTTAATGAGAAGGTTAATCTCACTGTGTTCTTGTCATTCTCACTTTCTGAGATGTTCTGGTGGTAGATTGTGTGTTAAACTGGTTCTTTGTTTTAGAAAGACAACAGAAAGCAGCCTTCACAACACATTTTACTTTTATAATGATAAGACTATATTTTGTCCATTGGGAATGGATTGCATCATGTAAAGTGGTGGCTGACATGATTGCCGAAGTCACCCGAAAAGGAAAGTTGTTTCAGAGGCAGAGCAAGTTATTACATTTTGATGAAAGATTACGAAGACAAACAGTTTTTTTTCTTTAAAATAACGTGCACTGATTAATTTTACGCAATAAGGCCAGGAACATGTTTAAGAAAGTAAATATAGAGTTTATTTTGACTTCATGTTGCCCTCGGAGTGTAGCGTCTCTTATTCTGTTGATGAAAAGGGATTCTGAAGGATGTTTATTTTGCTTATAAAACAGATATTGATGGAATGTATCGTTTATTATTCGTTATTCATTTAATTATTTAATAATGTAATAATAACTTAACAATATACTTTCTTTCTATATATGTATAGGTGAACTGTAAATCACCTAAATGACAAAACAGTCAAACAAAATGGCTTATTTATATTATTATTTCCAGGCCATGAGTAAAAACTAGAATTTATGCTGTAATTAATTATTTATTTTTTTATTTTTTGGGGGGAAATGATGCAGTCTCTATGAATGTTTGTAATACACTCAAAAAAATGCTGGGTTGTTTCAACCCAAATTTGGGTCAAATATGGACAAACCCAAATTTTGAGTTAAAAATATCATTAAAAAATGTACCATTGAAAGTGAAAGTTGAAGTTGGGTTAACATTTTAAATGACATTTTTAATGGCTAGTTTTCCATATTTGACCCAAATTTGAGTGTATATAAAACCATGCATTATCATATGATAATGCTTTGTAATATTTAGTTTTTTACATTTATTAGCATTTTATTTAAAGGTTATAAAACAGATATCAAGTCATATCTTTCATTCTGAAACAATTTGATCAATAGATGTAAAATGTGTATGTGTATTACATATAGAATATGTCTATATATATATATATATATAATAATTACAATCGTTTCAGATATTATTATTATATATATATATATATGTTTGTGTTTGTGCTTATAATTACTCGTAGTATGTATAAATGTGTTTGTGTGTGTATATATATATATATATATGTATAATTTTAATGTGCTAATTTGGTGCTCAAGAAACATTTCTTATTATCAATGTTCAAAACAGTTGTGCCTCTTAATGTGGTACCTTATAAAAGTTACTTAATCAATAGTGATGGAATTTATATGTAATACTAAACTATGACCCTCCTTTTTTTTCAAGCCTTGTAATCCAATATTTGTCCTTGTGTAACCCATAATATATTATAGTGGCTCAAAATCTGCTCTGTTAACAGAACAGTTATAGGTTCAAACCCCCCAAGGGTTGATCCATGAACTATACCAATGTTCCCTTGAGCAAAACACTTAACCCCAGGTTGCTCCGTAAGTGTGTAAGTGTACTGTAAATCACTCCGGCAGCCAAATGACAACATAGTTACTAGTTGGAAAGCAAAACGATAATTCATTGTCATTGTGAGAGGCTATCACGAAACGCTTACTGGAATTCATGCTGTTGTTTTTGAAAATGATGTAATCTACATGAATCTTTATGAAGCAAACAACCCAACACAGTCCTTCTGAAACGATCTCTTGTAAACATCTGCGGTGCATGTGATCGATGATCGTCCGTTCGGGACTTTGCAGATCGTCATGACTCAAACGAAACGCTTTACCTTCACATTGGTGGTGACTTACAGAACATCCCAGGAAGCTCCAGTCAAAATGAGTCGAAACATCTGGTTTTGGTTAATGCTTGTAAAGCTGATCCAACTGAATCCAGATCAGTGTTCCCAAGCTGGACTCGTCCTATGTGATTTTAATCCAAGGCAGGAAGCTCGGGTCAATTAATCGGTCAGGGCACAATGCGTCTTTGGGGAGTCAACAGCAACAGAAGAAAACCCAACCTTTTGCATTCTTGTTTACGTTAATTCATTTTTCTAAACCAACCATCATGTCTTAATTATGACTATAACAAACAGAAGCAAAAATGCCAGGGCATTGAGTGTGCTTTGGAGCGTTTGAAATTGAAATATCACCATTTCTAACAGACAGTCTCTACATCTTTATTCTGACAGACCACATCAAGCACATGACTTTCCCTCGGGGTTTAACGTGTTTATTTCCATTGTGATAAAATTATCCTTCATTAGTCCTCCTCTCAGGGTCCATGCGGTCTGGGTGATTCCATATTTATTTTTGCAGAGCTCAGAGTCTTTTGGGACTAAAAGGGTCACTATACCGCACCTTTGCCTGGCACTGGATCTTCTCCCTGAGGAATTAAAACCCACTGGCTAAACCGTGTTTGATGAACTCAGCTCTTAAGTTCACACTGTTGAATGCTTCACAAAAGGGAGCCACAATCGTGGAATGACAAATGCAACTTTATAGTTACATGCAAACGAAGGCCATGACACTGGAAATCCACTTGATACAGTGTACAGTGTATCTTGATACACTCTTCTACATATTCACCGTACACATGGGAACCGATGCATGTTTTCCTCCTCATTCTGTCATGAACTTCTGACATCTATTGAGTTTTGCGGTCAATCCAAAATTTTCTTTAAGCAAAATGCAATATCATCATTTTTTTATTCTTTGCTCAACAGTTAGAAAACTACATCCAGCAGAAGACGGGGATGGTGCACATTCAAGCTGATGCTGTCCATAACCAGACGGCCACGATGCTGGAGATCGGCACCAATCTGCTCACCCAGACCGCTGAGCAAACCAGAAAACTCACTGTGGTGGAGGCCAAGGTAACCACAACGCATTCTCATCCTAGGGCATCATATAGTGACGCTTTTGAAATTTAGTCTAAATCCAACACACATGGCACCCTTTAGCGTCAATATAACACGCTTCGGTTATGGGTAGGTTTAGGTGTGTGGTAGGGTTAGGGTTAGACCACTAGGAGGCGCATTCTAGCCCATATGTATCTGTGTCTCATGTAGATGCTAAAGGGTGCCTTGTGCATTGGATGTAGACGAAATGTCAAAAGCATCAGTATATGACGCCTTGGGATGAGAACGGGCTGTTTCACATCGGAGAAATGCTGTAATGCATACTTCTTCAGTGTAAATACAAGGAGTGCATATACAAATACATACAACGAACATTCAAAAGTTTGGAGTCAGTAGGATTAGTAGTATTAAGCAAGAATGAATCAAACTGATCAAAGTGACAGTTAACTTAAGAAATTTACAAAGTTTTCCATTTCAAACAAATGCTTTTCTTTTGAAATTTCTATTCATCGTCAAATAATCTTGAAGAAAACTGTATAACAGATTCCACAAAAATATGAAGCAGCACAACGGTTTTATAACATTGATGATTGTGGTGAGCAGGACGGCCGAGGGACGTGAGAGAAAGTCGCGAGGCCGGTGTTGCGATTGCTAATGAGCAGCACCTGCGAAGCACACCGGTCTCGCATCTCTCACGAAGGAGCGGAGCCATAAAGGGGGAGCGACGGAGTGGATGATCGAGAGAGGAACAGGCCTGCTTTTGTTTGTGTTTTATATTTTATTTGGTAAGCCAGCAGTCGTCCGCGAGGGGCTGCTGGCCGGTATTTTATATTTTATTTTCGGTAGCCAGCAGTCGTCCGTGAGGGGCTGCTGGCAGGTATTTTGTTTGTTTATTTTGTTTAAATAAAGTTTTATTTTTCATTATTATCCGGTTCCTGCCTCCTTCTTCCCTGAACTTTGTTACAACGATAATCAACTAAGAATGATTTCTGAAGGATCTGAAGACTGGAGTAATGATGCTGAAAATGGAGAAATTTTAAAATTGAAAAATTGAAAATTCAGCTGTCACAGTCTTCGTCTGCACCATCCTGTCTGCGTCTCCAGCACTACACTTCCCAGGATCCTCTCGTCTCCACACCTGAACTCACTCCCTCATCAGCCTCCCGTTCAGCGTCCTGTTAATCTGTTACACCTGTTTTCCACCTTGTTATGTTTGATTCCCCTGTGTATTTAGTTCCCTCAGTTTCCTTCAGTCTTTGTCGATCGTTGTGACTGTTACCCTGTGTTCCGCCTGCCTGTATCCTGTTCTTTATGATTAAAACCTTTTTGTATTGGAGCTTTCTGGACTCTGCCTGTTCCTTACGCCTGAACCCGCAACGTGACAGAACGATCGACCCCCAAATTGGGATTAAACATGGATTCCTTTGTGGCGGTTCAACTTCTCTGCCTGGAGCAGGAGGACCGGTCCCTGGAGGACCATTTGACGGATTTCCTCTCCCTCATTCCATCCACAACCTTCCCGGACGACAGCCTCTGCAGCTTTCTTTATGCTGGCCTCAACACCGCCACCAGAGCGCAGTTGTCCGGGAACGGTCCCCCGGGGAGTTTCGCAGCATATGTGGAGTGGGTGCTGGTGTCCTGCGGATCTCCCTACACCATCGATGACGGCACCAGCCCCACTCCAACGCTCGAGCCTTCCTCTCCACTGGTTCCGTCCAGCCCCGCCGAGCCGGGGCTCTCCTCTTCGCTGGTTTCGACCAGCCCCGTCCAGACCGTCCAGCCAGCGCCCGAGACCGTCCAGCCAGCGCCCGAGACCGTCCAGCCAGCGCCAGAGACCGTCCAGCCAGCGCCAGAGACCGTCCAGCCAGAGCCAGAGCCCGAGACCGTCCAGCCAGAGCCAGAGCCCGAGACCGTCCAGCCAGAGCCAGAGCCCGAGACCGTCCAGCCAGAGCCAGAGCCCGAGACCGTCCAGCCAGAGCCAGAGCCCGAGACCGTCCAGCCAGAGCCAGAGCCCGAGACCGTCCAGCCAGAGCCCGAGACCGTCCAGCCAGAGCCAGAGCCCGAGACCGTCCAGCCAGAGCCCGAGACCGTCCAGCCAGAGCCCGAGACCGTCCAGCCAGAGCCCGAGACCAGGATCCCACCCTGCCTCCCTCTCCCGCCTCCTCTCATCTGTCCCCGTTCTTCTCTCCTGCCCTTCAGCTCCCCTAAACCAGCCTGGTCCGTGTTTCCCCGGCCTTCGCTTCACACCTCCTCTATCTGGACACTTCCTCGGCCCCCGGTCCCATCGGCTCCCCCGTGGCTGCTACCTCCCTCAGCTCCTCCATGGTCCCACAGTCCACCAGCTCGGCCAGGCTCCCTCGTCCCTCCGAACTCCCTGCACTCCCTCGTCATCCTCCCTTCACCTTTGGACTTCCTTCCCTTGGCTCCGCCCCGTCATGTCACCCCCCCGGTTCAGTTGGACTCCTCACTCCCTCCAGTCACCCGTCAGCCCTCACGCCCTCTGACCTCACCGTGTCCCTCTGTGCCCCTGTCAGCACTTCTGTCACCAGAGCCTGCGGTGTCCCCTTGCTCCCTCAGTCCCTCCTCAGCACCCATCATCGTCGGTCCCTCAGCTACACCCTGGTCTCCTCTCCCATCCGCTCCGCCCCTGTCAGTCGGCCCCCTGGTGTTGCCAGCCCCACTACCATCGGCTCCACCAGAGGTCCTCCCTCCAGCTGCTCCGCCCTGGTCTCGCCCTCATCATGCTCCGCCCTGGTCTCGCCCTCAGCCGGCTCCGCCCTGGTCTCGTCCTCAGCCTGCTCCGCCCTGGCCACGCCCTCAGCCTGCTCCGCCCTGGCCACGCCCTCAGCCTGCTTTGCCCTGGGGACGCCCTCAGCCTGCTCCGCCCTGGCCACGCCCTCAGCCTGCTCCACCCTGGCCACGCCCTCAGCCTGCTCCACCCTGGCCACGCCCTCAGCCTGCTCCACCCTGGCCACGCCCTCAGCCTGCTCCGCCCTGGCCACGCCCTCAGCCTGCTCCGCCCTGGCCACGCCCCGCCCAGCCCCCAGTTCGTCCCCCCTCCTTCCTCTGTTATGCGGCGTGAGGTCACGCCTCCCGGGAGGGGGGAGTTCTGTCACAGTCTTCGTCTGCACCATCCTGTCTGCGTCTCCAGCACTACACTTCCCAGGATCCTCTCGTCTCCACACCTGAACTCACTCCCTCATCAGCCTCCCGTTCAGCGTCCTGTTAATCTGTTACACCTGTTTTCCACCTTGTTATGTTTGATTCCCCTGTGTATTTAGTTCCCTCAGTTTCCTTCAGTCTTTGTCGATCGTTGTGACTGTTACCCTGTGTTCCGCCTGCCTGTATCCTGTTCTTTATGATTAAAACCTTTTTGTATTGGAGCTTTCTGGACTCTGCCTGTTCCTTACGCCTGAACCCGCAACGTGACATCAGCTTTGCATCACAAGAATAAATTATATTTTAATATATATAAATATATATATATATATATATAAACAAACAGAAAACAGTTTTAAATTGTATTAAAATTTCCCAAAATATCACTGGTGTATAACAGAGAAATACAGATTAAAAATGATATATATATTGTATGTATAGTTTTCTGTTATTTTCCATTATTCTTTTCATTGTGTTCCAGGTTATGAACCAGACTTCAAGAATTGCAATTCAGTTATTAGAGAATTCATTGTCAACAAACAAACTGGAGAAGGAGCTCTTAACGCAGATTTCAGAAATCTCAAAACTTCGAGACAAGAACAGGTAAGACTTTAATGAATATATTTGTCTATTTCTATTATTTCTGTTTCACAAAGCCCAAGAGCAATCTACACTAAAAACTGTAAATGAAATATTTTATTTAAAGCTGCATTCCGTAATTTTTTGGGTTATAAATGATCCAAAATGAATGTTTGAGCAAGTACATATCCAGCCAGTGTTCAAAACTCTCTGTTTGCCTTAGCTTGATTCTAAACATTAAGCTTGTAATAATGTTTTTAATTCCAGTGGTGGATTTCTGCGGGAGATTCGAGCATGTCTTTGCGTCATTATGTCACATCAGAAGATACACATACATACATGAATCGGATTGACATTAAATTTAGTCATGCAATGCTGATATTGTTAACATTAACATTAACAATTTGAGGACAAAGTATAATTTGCACATTTTGACGTGATATGATAAGCGGACGTTAGATTTAATCAGTTTTTTCCCTTAGTCGGTCAGAACAAAAGTGGATATTACTTGTTCTGATGACATTTTCCGGTGATAATTATTATGTTGATCATACTTCCGAAAAGTAGATTCTGTGATCCTGATCCACAGCGGCACAGAACCGCATATTCTCCTCAAAACATCGGATTCATCCGCGCAGTGCCGTGCCGAGGCACAACCCACGTAAAGTTGCTAATTCCGCGAATAACTGCAATTGCAGATTTCAAACAGAGATGGCGACAAAGAGGAGAAACTACGGACTGCAGCTTCAACCTAAACAATACTTGTTGCTCTGAAAAAAGCAATGAGATGAAGAGAAATTAATTTAGCTCCATGTCAATAATTAGACACTATTTTATTTCTCCCCTGATATTGTAGTAGGAGAAATATCAAAGAAAAAATCCCTGAATGAATCATAAATGTGGACTCCATTATGTAATTGTGCTCATTACAACTCTAAACAATTACAGAGCAATAAGATCTTCCCGGGCAAGTCATTTTTAAGGGTCAGATCGCATCTTCAACAGCGTAGTGTCTCTCTTGTTGTTCTCAAAACTATATTTTCCCATAGTCGGCCAGCTCTGAATGCACAGCAGGGGGAAAGGCTTTGGTAAAAGGAAATAATCAGCCACTTAATTGATTGTTTGTAATGTTTAATAACTACGAAGTAAGCACAGCACACAAAGCAGACTCCAGGCAAGTTTCCTCTGCACACTTCCAGAGCGGGACAAAGGGTTTTCCCAGAAAGCTTTGTACTTGGCTCTCGCTAGATTAAACAGATAACGCTTGTTGTCATTCAACTTTGACGACCAATTGAACTGTGTTGCGAGTGATGTTTTGGTAGCTGCATGGGGGCATCAGACGTAATTATAGTGGACCGCTACGTTAGAGACAGGCCAGAGCCATTCAATTTTTCATGTTTGCCTGTATGAGTGAGAACAGAGAGTTTTCGACCTTTCCGAGGAGACTTACAACTGTGCAAGTTAAAAGTGTTCGTAATTGCTCCCAGAATTCATGCGGGTTTAGCGAGGGTCAGCTTCATAGTATAATAGCAGCAAACAATTGCTCAGCATTGTGTACACATTACCAACCCTGGCAAGGGATTTCAACAGGCCTTGCCAATTGATTGTGCGAAAACTATTTGTGTAATCAATCATGAACAATTTATAAACATATAAGCATCGAGAACCACTAGCTACAAAAGCATGTTTAATGACTATATCTACTGTAATTTAACAAAGCAAGCGTTCAGTTACATGGCTCGATGGAGTTTTGATTTGCTTTCCAGTTATTTTCGGCCTCAAACCCTCGGGTGATGTGGTTTTTTTTTTTTTTTTTCAGCGTTCACACACTCACTCACTAAATCACTCACAGATTTAAGTCGGCAGGATTTTGCAGTGTTTTTGTAGCAGTGGCTCATAGTTGTACGGCTGTAAATTGTTTTGACGGCAGGCTTGATCGATTCATGCCATCTCCTCTGATCCAGACACTAAATCATGAATCTGCATAAACTAAGCTAAGCACTGATAGAAATCTGTATCTCCATTTACCAAAGGCCCAAAGTTCAGTAGACTTATTTCACATGACACTGCAATACGCTAGACAGTAGCAAGCAAACCGCTACAATCTAACAATAGTTGGCCATTTCAAGATGATAATATCGCACATATCACACTAAATGTTTGCATAAAAATAAACTGCAGAATTAAAGTAGTTCACTTTTGAAAAAACGTTTGCTGATAATTTACTCACCCCCATGTCATCCAAGATGTCCATGTCATTCTTTCTTCAGTCGAAAAGAAATGAAGGTTTTTGATGAAAACATTCCAGGATTTTTATCCATATAATGGACTTCAATGGGAACCAAACGGTTCAAGGTCTAAAAGACAGTTTCAGTACAAAATGCAAACTGTTCAAAGGGCTTTAAACGATTCCAGACGATGAATAAGGGTCTTATCAAGGAAAACGATCGCTCATTTAATAAATAAATAACAAAGTTTAAGTTTTATAAGCTCAAATGCTCGCCTTGCTCTGTTCTGTGACGCACGTTCGTGACTCTCCTGTGCGAACTCGTTCATCAAAATGAACGAATCTTTTTCAGAGTCATTTGGTTCATTCAACGAACGAAACAAACGAATTGACTCGGAAAAAGATTCATTCATTTTGATAAACGAGTTCGAACAGGAGACTCACAAACGTGCGTCACAGAACAGAGCAAGGCGAGCATTTGAGCTTATAAAGTTGAAACTTTTTGTTTTTGTTTTTAAAAAAAATGAGCAATCAGTTCGCTTGATAAGACCCTTGTTCATCGTCTAAAATCGTTTAAAGCCCTTTGAACAGTTTGCATTTTGTACTGAAACTGTCTTTTAGACCTTGAACCGTTTGGTTCCCATTAAAGTTCATTATATGGAGAAAAATCCTGGAATGTTTTCATCAAAAACCTTAATTTCTTTTTGACTGAAGAAAGAAAGACATGGATATCTTGGATGACATGGGGGTGAGTAAAGTATCAGCAAAAGTTTTTTGAAAAGTGAACTACTCCTTTAAGTACATTTGTAGTTTTCTAGGGGGTTCTGGGTGGTTACAAAGATTTTCCAGCCATTTCACGAGGGTATTCTAAAAGTAATAGTACTCTTCTTCTCAACAAAGCAAATGTTTTATGGTCAAATTCAGGTCTGTAAATGGCGAGGGACGAGTTAAGAGCCAAAGTGTAATAATTAGATGTAAATGTTTCAAACAAACCCCTAATGGTTGCAAACACCATTAATTAGTTCAGACATGTCCATCCTAATGTGAAAGTCCCAATGCTCTTTCTAGGAATTTCTCAGAAACATCTGGAGATACTTGAAAAAGGTTTCTCTTTTGACTTAAGGTTTTTTTAATGCATACATTATTGTTTCGACCAGTCGTTTGGAGAGTAAGGTCTTAGTCCTGGAGTCGCAGCAGAGGACAGAGTTGGAGGACATAAGGGAGGAGAAAGAGCGACTGCAGGACCTGGTGAAGAGACAGACAGCCGCCATTACGGCTCTGGAGAGACAGCTGAGAGCGTCCAGTAGCAACAACTCAGCCCTGCAAAGACAGCATCAGCAGCTCATGAAGTCCGTACACACACTTATTGGCATGGTGTCTTCTGGGACAAGTAAGAATACACACCTTGTACTAAATATGTAACACTAAATATCTCTGCACAAATGTAATTTTCATGTTTGTATTTGATTATCATCATAAATTGTGGAATATTATCTCAGTTTATTAGTCTACAGTAACATAGATTGTCTAGAGAAGTGCATGATGTCAAAGCGCTGCTTTTGGTTGGTAGTAGGCCTGTTTCACTTGAAAGTGTGTCATATTACGGAAGGGAAAATGCATTTCGAAAACCAATTCATGTCGATAGCTAGTTTGCTGTAAAACACTCGGTTACAGTGTAAGGTTAGTTGTCTGGGAATGATGGTCATGTCTGAATCTTGGGCTTACAACAGCTTTTAAATCTGGTGGCAGATTGTTAACATGACCTGAAAGTCCTGGTTAATTAACTGAGACACTAATGATAAATCGAGCAGCCGTGATTCATGGAGAGAGAGTGGATATAAGCTCTCGCTATAGTGATGTCTTTGGCAGCGTTCTCTCATGTCTTGGATGAAGCTCGCATGCGTCAGAACACGCACTGATAAGCTAAATCAAGACTGCAGCATTTTATACAGACAGAATACATATCAGTTTATAAATGTCTGTGTGGAGGTTCACTCGAAGAACCAAATATACCGAATTTTAAAAATAAACTCTCTCAGATGAACAAACACATTGCGTTTCATGTTTAAATGACTCATCCCGAAACTTGACCACAATAGACGTTCTATTTGAAAAGTTGAGGTCATGTAATGAATAGAAATCTTGTTCTTTTGACAAGACAAGAGAAACCACATCGTTTTGTTGTGTCGCATTGTGTGGCGAATCCACAAAACAACGTTGGCATGTGATGTTTCAGCACCAAAACCCGCTAATCATCAGTAGTTCAACTTGAACAGGCGATAAATGTGCTGGTTTAACGCGGCACTACACAGATTTATTGTTATTTAAAGTTATAGCCACCTTCTTTCTATGCTAATGAGGTCAATTTCAAATCAGTGTTATTTTACTATTTTCTCATTAATATACTATTATAGCATTTATTAATGTTTTGAATTACTTTCATTTCGTTTTCATTTTTTGTCATTTTTATTACTTTTTATACATTTCTATTCATGTTAATTTCAGTTAACTGAAATTGAAACTGAAATTAATTTCAGTTAATTTCTAGTACTTCCACTTCCACCAAATTTAAAAAGTTTTCTTAGCAACTAGTTAGTTCAGTTATAATCATTATTTACTCATCCTCATGTCGTTCCAAACCCGTAAGACTTTCGTACATCTTTGGAACACAAATAAAAATTTTGTTTTAACGTTATCTGAGAGATTTCTTTCCCTCCTTTGTCAGATACGCTACAATTACTTTAAAAAGTTCATAAATAGATCGTAAAACTAATCCATACACTGTAAAAAAAATATTTTCAAGATTTGTTATCACAACATATTTTCTTTTGTCAAATCAACTTTATAATAATTTATTTAGTTGAGATAACTTATTATTTTGAGTTTCTGATGATTAAATTAATCTCCTTCATTGTATTAACTCACTTTTTCCAGTTCAATCAACTTAAAATTTTAAGGCAAGTTAAACCAACAATATTTTTTTACAGTGTAGTAATCACAACATTTTTTCTTTTGTCAAATCAACTTAAATAATTTATTTAGTTCAGATAACATATAATTTTGAGTTTCTGATGATTAAATTAATCTCCTTCATTGTATTAACTCACTTTTTCCAGTTCAATCAACTTAAAATTTTAAGGCAACCAGCTTTTTTAAGTTAAACCATCAATATTTTTCACAGTGTGGTTTAGTCCAAAATGTTCTGAAGAGACTCGATCGCTTTATATGCTGAACAGATTTAATTTAGACTTTTATTCACATTTAAACATTGAACAGTGGACATAAACAGAAGCTCAACCGAACCTGCTTGACGTGAGAATGAATCTTATTGGTTCTCGAACATGCTTGAGCTCCTGTTTACCACAACTGATGTGTGAGTTGATGAATGTTTATTTGTGAATAAAAGCCTAAATTAAATCCGTTTATCATATAAAGCGATCGTGTCTCTTTAGAAAATTTGGAGGGGCATACCGTAAAGCTCTGAGATTTCATCAAAAAGATCTTCATTTGTGTTTCGAAGATGAACGAAAGTCTTACTGGTTTTGACATATTTTTATATATGCATTTTTGGGTGAACTATCCCTTTAATGTTTATTTTGTTTCAGTCACAGTCAGTGCAAAACACACATTTAAAAAAAAATCTTCTTTGTTATTATGATAATAACATAGAAAAATGTTTTATGGAGCACAACAGTAAATATTTTAGTTTATTAGCCCACACTCTAAAAAAATGCTGGGTTGTTTTAACCCAATTTTGGGTCAAATATGGACAAACTCAAACATTGGGTTAAAAATGTAATTTAAAAATTTAACCTAATGGCAAGGTTTGTCCATACAGTATTTGGCCCAAAATTGGGTTAAAACAACCCAGCATTTTTTAGAGTGTATACTAAATTATGTATAGATGACTCATGCTGGATTTACACAAGACTATCACATTTTTGTCTAGAAAGGCTACGCCATAATGGCCTTTTTTTGGATGATTATCTTTCCTACCTTTAAATCAAATTCTGAACCCCAGTGTCATTGTATTTTTCCTTTACAGGCTTCTCGCCAAACGAGCAGCGCTTCCGAGACTGTGCCGAGGCCTATAAATCCGGTCACAACGCCAGCGGAGTCTACCACATTTACATCGGAGACATGACGGAGCCAACCAAGGTGTGGGATGCGTTCTTTCACAAGTATGGGGAATCAGTGTGATATATCTTGCAGTGCACATGTAAGAGAGTGAGACTGAGATGTATCATATGCTTCTGACAGGTCTTTTGTGATATGGTGACAAGTGGAGGTGGCTGGACAGTATTCCAACACAGAGCTAATGGAAGTGTGAACTTCCAGAAAAGCTGGAAAGAGTACAAACTGGTGAGTGGACACGAAGCCAAAAATCACACTGTCAAGCAACCATGCTGTACATTAGCAACCACCCAACCCTCTAGCATCATGCCAATACAGACAAATGTTACTCATTAGATTTGTAGACAATGAGTAAAATCTTTATTGATTATGTTTAAAGAAGATGGTGACATTTAAGAAATGTTTTTTTCTGTGCTGGGAAGACTTGTTCAAAAGCTTGACATAATTCTGATGACTCAAAAACTGGCCAAAGCACATTGAAGCACAGAGTCTAAAATTGTACGTGACTGATTGGCGTCATTGGCAGCAGCCTTCATGTTTGGTGCATTGTGTATTTAATAGCGGCACATTTCGCTGATATTTTAAGTGCTTAAATATGCTGAAATGGATTTAACACTGGCAGGTCTGTGAGACCACAGCAGTGGAAATCAATACAGCAATTTTCTATCTTTATTGTGTATCTTGTGCCAAATGACCTTTAATTAAAAAAGCTGAAATGGATAAGTCCCTTTTCTGGGAAGCACATAATAATAAAAGACTGACAGTGTATTGATTTATTTTTTTAGAAAACAAAACTGCCGACTAATGCTGCGTTCGATTCAAAGTTGGATATGTGATACTACTTGGTCTCTAACCAAAAAGTGTTGTCCAATGATAAGAAGATGAAGTACAAAGAAGTAAAATGGCAACAGAGATGATCATTTACTTTGTTTTTCACAAGAAACTTTTACTCTTTGAATCATTTTAACTTGCTTAAAGGGATACTCCACTTTTTTTTTGGAAATAGGCTCATTTTACAACTCCCCCAGAGTTAAACAGTTGAGTTTTACCGTTTTCAAATGCATTCAGACGCTTTTCTGATATTTCGAAGAATATCAGTAACCAGACAGTTTCTGGTCTCATTGACTTCCATAGTAGGAAAAAAATATACTATGGAAGTCAATGAAACCAGAAACTGTCTAGTTATCGATATTCTTCTAAATATAAAAAAATCGGCTGAATATATTAAACCCAAATGCTTAACTCTGGAAAAAAGTGGAGTATCCCTTTAAAGTGTTTATCGTTAACTACTAATCATATGTTGGAAAACTTCCACTCAACTTCAAGTGCAGTTTTATTGCTTTCCCAAATAGGAAGTTAAAACGCCCAACTTTACAAGATGAATGGAACATAGCATAAGTTCGGTTATATGTTGTTCCCACAGGGATTTGGTGATCCCAACGGAGAGCACTGGTTGGGTAATGAGGCTGTTCACCTGATCACCAGCCAAGCCCGGTATTCCCTCCGAGTGGAACTTAAGGACTGGGAGGAGAACGGTGCCTATGCACTCTATGACAAATTTCAGCTAGCCGGTGAAAAACAGCAGTACAGGTATCACCCGAATACTGTAACAATTAAGACTAATTCACTGAGATATTTCAGATAATGTTCGTCAACATGTCTTAATCGTAATCTTGAACGTTTTTCTCTTTCTCCAGACTCTTGCTAGGGGGCTACAGCGGAACATCAGGACAGCAAAGTAGCTTAGCGTCAAACGGCACAGGCTTCAGCACTCGTGACGCTGACAATGACAAGTGCGTTTGCAAGTGCGCCCTCATGATGACCGGAGGTGAGCTACTGCACATTTTCTCATTCAAAAACATAGTTTTCAAATATTAAATATGAGCTGTATTTTTGAACGCACTGATGCAATGTTGAGGAGTACTTATCAAGATGTAGATAATTGATCATTAACCAGCTACCAGGCTGTAAGGATCATTTCTCAAGGTGATAATGCGGACAAGACCTGTCTTTTTCAAAAAGAACAGAGCCTCTGCATTTAAACAACAACAAAAACATTTGGTAGCACTTTATGTTCATGGTCCCTTTTAAACATGCTGTTGACTATAAGTTACTTTGCAACTATATGTTAACTAGCTCTCATCAGAGTATTAGTAGACTGTTTGCTTTGCTTTTGGGGTGGTATAATGCCCTTTTCACAAAATGTAAAATAAATCTTTGGTGTCCCCAGTGTGTGTATGTGACGTTTTAGCTCAAAATATCCCACAGATATTTTATATAGCATGTTTAAGTTGTCACTTTTTGAGGTTTAGCAAAAACGCATCGTTTTGTGTCTGGCCCTTTAAATGCAAATGAGCTGCAGCATGAATCACTCAATTCTCATTGGCTACCTGCCAATGTGGCAGGTAGATTGACAGTGTTACCCGCCAATAGAAAAATTCACCCGCATTTGGCAGGTGGTCGGGTGTTAATTTCAGGCCCTGGTACTGTGTATTCAATGCTTCTTTTGTCACATACTGTAGGGAAGTATGCGATTTTGGATGCAGCCTTTATCTGTTGATCGAGTAGATCAAGTCATCAACACCCCAAAAGCTTCTTCGGTCATATACTTCTTTGTGGGTTTGACATTTTTGCTGCTGAATGCTTGATGATCACATTAGCTTACAAATTTTGGTTTACGCAGATATTCTTCTTCAATGGAAAAACTCATCAATGGCGAGGAAAGAGTTCATTTTCATTCATCCATGTGATGAAACCATCACCAGAATTGAACAAAGACCTTGATCTTAGATACTTGTTACGTAAAGACTAATCCGATCGTAGACGGGCACTCACTCAACTTTTTGGATGCATTCATATCTTTTCTCTTCGCACATTTCTTCAATTGTGGCCTGGATCTGAAGCCGAAAAGGTAATGCAAAATCCTTCTGATCCCATATCGACGAAAATTCAACCCCGTCGCAGAATTATGTAAAACACGTCCAGAGATCAGACCTGCTCATCCAAACAATTTACTCTATGGCTGCAGTCGACTACAGATCCCACACCTCTGGGCTCCAAGATAAACAGCTTTTCAATAGCATGCATTGCGATTGATTTTGAAAGTTGTTGGAGTTAATTACAGTCGAACAGGCTGGAGACCTTCGAGTGCCCTTTTTGTTTGCATTTCAAATGGTAATCAAAAGATCGAAAGATTGATCCATCTGTGCGGACGGTCCAAACTAAACACGCGTTGAGGGAGGTGATACTGATTTAATCAGGGTTAGATAGACAGTGTCCTCTCTGAAGAGTGAAAGTCTGGTTTTTATTGAAGAAACACAGTTTGCTTTGACAGGTCTTGCTGAGACATCAACCGCACAATGGGAATAAAATACTCTTTGAAACACTGACAGACTGCCGGGAGAAACATAAAAAGACGTAATATAGAGGAGAGGGATGGGTCAAAGGGTTTGGTTGTTTTGAGATGTCATTTTTATTTCTTCTGTGGAATGCAAAATAAAATATTTTGTCAAATCTCCAGGTAGCTTTTTTCATTAAGTGAAGGCGTGTGTCCACCAAAGCGTTTTTCCACACGCCTGGCGTATGTTTTCAATTGTTTTCAATGGGAGTGCTGCGTTTTTTAAACGGCATGAGCGTAACGAGGCGCTGAGCTTTTTTTTTATTTTCACGTTGAAGCGCCCTGCGTTTTTTTTTACTGGTCGCCGGGAGTTGAAAAATGTTCAACTTTGGATAAAACGCACCGCTGATCAATGTCACTTTTTAACTACCCGTCTAATCACAGTGGAGGAGGGGCGGGACTGAACCACACTGACCAACTTCAACATCAACCAGCTGAGCTAAACAAACAAAATGGATGAAAAATACATTTTTAGTATGAAACAAATCTGCAAAATCAGTTTTAAGTAAACTGCTGTGGATATTCTGTATCACAGCAACGAAACAAGCACGGCGTCTAGCCTTTTCAGCTGGCTAAAAACACTTTGGTGGCAAGCGGCCTACCCGGAAGTGCGAAAAACTGCAATACATCTCAAATCCACTAGAGGCCGGTCCCAAAAGGGAGCAAATGTCCATAGACCCCATGTTAAAATGTTCGTTTTCACAGCATAAATTAATGCTTTTACGGGTTGGTCCCAGGGACTTTTATTGTATTTTTGGATAGGTTCCGAGTGCCTGACAACTGTGAGGTTTAGATCGTTAGTTTAGATCGTATTTAGATATAAAATGTATGACAAGTAAGGGCGGTTAACTTTGATTGACAGCTGATAGCGGGCTGCGCCGAGTTGAATTTGACGTCTCGGCCATGATCTGACACAACACATCATACCTCCTCTGTATCCTTTCTGAACATTTGTATTTTGTATTTCCCAAGATTTTCCAAGATGGCGATGGAATACTTTTTAGTTATTTTGTTTTGTGCTTTTGAAATTTATTTTTTTTAAACTAAACTAAATGTGTCATTTTCAATAACTTAATTTCAATACCAATAATAACTCTGATTAAGACCCAAAGTGAAAAGACTCGTGAGCAATAATATTATACATTTGTTTAAAATATTTATCTCAATCTCTTCTTATTTGTCATTTTTTCAGGCTGGTGGTTTGATGCTTGTGGTCTGTCCAACCTTAATGGAATCTACTACACCATGGGCCACAACATCCGCAAGCTCAATGGCATTAAGTGGCATCACTTCCGAGGACCCAGCTATTCACTCCAGTCTACTTCCATGATGATCCGCCCAGCTGATTTCTGACGTGAATGAAGCTTTTCATGTTGTCTGAATGACAGGACTTCGAGCCGCTTGCTTTGGGACATAGAAGCAACGAGGTGGAGACAGATAAAAATGTAATTTAACGGATGAACAGTGATGAATGGAGCTGGAGCGGACAAAAAAAAACCGATCAGACTGAAAATTCAGCTGCAATCCAAAACTCATGCCACAGTTCACCTTTTACACATGCAAACATGCTTCACCTTCACAGCTGAATCCCTGTGTCGCTCATCACCTAAAACATTCTCAATGACGGCCATGGAGACTTTCGTTGTACTCTCATGGTGTCAGAACATCATTTGTGGCATGAAGAAATTCCAAAGGAATACCTTTCGAAACTTAACGAGACTCCCGATCCTCACTAGATTCCGGAACTGTTCTGGATGTTCCAGAGGAATACCAGAGGCTCCGTCATATCTGAGAGGTTTTATACTACTTTGTAAAAGATAATAGCTGGTAACTACTTAGCGAGGCAGCTGACTAAGTACGTAGACTACTGTTAAAAGTTTGGGGTTGGTATGAATTTATTTGTTGTTGTTTTATTAAAGGGGTGATGAACTGAGAAATTCAATTTTCTTTGAGCTTTTAACATCTAAGAGGTCATCATATTATAAGAATATCCTGTAAGTTTCAGAACTGAAAACGTCCTTGTTAGTCCAATAAAAGCTTTTATTGACAGCAGCCTCAGCAAACGATTCGTTTTTAAATGTGGAGAACTATGGCGTCAAAGAGGATAAAACACCACCCCCGCAGAAGGCAGTTTTAGCCCCGCCCACCGATTCGTGCATTACACGCATAGCTAAATAACATAGATGCCTACCTCGTGATGACAAACCGGATCGAGCTAGCGAGTAATAAAAATATTGTGCAGCGCCTGGTTGTGGAAGAAGACAGTCGCTGCATGAGCTTCCTCTGGATTCCAATAGGACTGCATGGTTAACTTTATTTTTAATGACGTTCCAGCTGATGAGGTAAAACATCGTCCGTCTGTTCGCTTCATTTCACTGAGGATTGTTTTGTAAACAATACTGGATTTGCAGACCGATTAAGAGTAAAGAACGGTGCTGTGCCGTCTATATTGGATCTGACAGGAATGCTGCAACACACGGACTTTGGGACGAACATGTATGGGCGAATCATTCCGGTTGGCATTTTACAACATTGGACGTTTTCAAAACAATTTCCCCCAAGTGCATCGACGGGTGAGTCGAAACTCATTATAATATGCAAAACTGTTATCCACTCACAGCAGTGGGCGTTTACTTCCAACTCTTCAATGCGAGACGCCCATAAAAACCGAGCGTTTTTCATCTAGGCTCAAAACTAGGGTAGAAAATAGCCTATTACTTATTAATTTGGATGTTTTTGAATGCATAAACCAAGCGAACGTCATAAGCTGACCTCAGACAAAAATATGATAAAATTTAAAAAGCCAGTTCATGACCCCTTTAAAGAGAACGCCGACCAAGGCTGCATTTATTGGATAAAAAAAATACACAAAATTTTTAAAAATTATTTCAATTTTTAATAGCTGTTTTCTATTTGAATAACATTTCAAATGTAATTTATTCCTGTGTTGCAAAGCTGAATTTCACACGGTCCTTCAGAAATCATTCTAATATGATAATTTGTTGTTGAAAACAGTTGCACTGCTTCATATTTTTGTGGAAACCATGAGACATTTTTTTTCAGGATTCTTTAATTAAGCTCATTCCAACAGCCTTTTTTAACTATATATATATATATATATATATATATGTGTGTGTGTGTTTTACTGACCCCAAACTTTTGAACGGTAGTGTAGCTAACTAAGACAACTAGTCCGATAGATAGATTGAGACATTGCATCATTTTGTGTGTATTTTTAATAACTGGATATTTTATTATATTTTGCATTTTTCTTTTCTGTGCTCATTAGGCCCGAAACATACTCTACACAGGTATGTGAACACAAACGCTTCTGGCTGTCGTTGTATTTCTGAAATGTGTCAGAACACAATTGATATGCATCACATTCTTTGTAAGGGCCACTTTAGCGAAAATAGCCTTGCTTGGCTGAGCAACAGTTTGAAGAGTTAGTAAAAGTATTTGCCATGTTTTTAGCTACTGAAGGTAACTTTATTGCCCTCTTGAGTACAGAAGTTTGTTACAGCAATGCAAAATCAAAGTGTTGCGTTTGTGTGCTTGCACAAAGCGTGTTTCTGGCCTTATAATTGTTGTACCGGCGTGATTTGTGATTTGTTTTGTATGTAAGAGAAAGATACTATATTTTGTTTACTGATGTTCTGTATGACCTGTTGTTTCCATTTCAAAAATATATCATGTTTTATTAGGAGGATGCACTTTAAGGAGCACAGTACATTAAACTACATTCGCTGATTTGAGTTGACTGTTCCTACAACTGTACAAGATGAACAATATTAATTGCTGCTGTGGTAACACATTCTGAGCATAAACCTTTCAACATGCATTTTTACCTTCTGACATGAACCTTTCATCACATATCAATACTGTTTGATAATAAACCCTTCAGATAAGTTGGGGAGTCAAACTGGATAACAGCTTTTCAACAGGTCGGGTTTATTTTACTATCCTGCACAAGAAGTTGAAGACGCCAAAGGATTTCCTGTCTTTTTGTGGTTCAGGCTTTGTGTTTTTTCAGTTTTTCTGCCAAGAACAGCAGGAGCATATGGAAGACATTCCCCCTTGATCATTCTTCATTCGCTTTGTAAAAATGTCAATTTGTCATGTCATATTTTCAATTTTTTTGGTTTATTTTGTTTTAAGAGGTCTACATGAGCAATAAACTGCTTCTTATATAGATGTTTGGTGCATTCTTTGGTCATATGTACTGTATTATATGATCTAATATTTCATACATGAAATGAAATATTAGATCATATTTATTAGATCATATATAGACCGAAGGATGTGGCTGTGGTTACAAGAGGTAAAATCTATATAAATACTGTTTGTTTTCTCACACAAACCGCTCGTTTCATATCTTAGGCCATCAATGTGTACTTACATTTACGAGTCATTAAATCATGTTTAATTTTGGACTTCTCTGTGCATGCTCTTTTAGGTGGTGACCATAGACCTGCATTATATGACTGACAGACAACAACGGTTTGAACTAAAAATATCAAAACTGAAAATACTTTGATGTGTTTTAGCTTACCTCAAGAGCATCCAAGATGTAGGTGTCTTTGTTTCCACAGTATTTTCCATTTTTATATTTTTATAATGCAGGTCTATGGTCACCACCTCAAAGAGCATGCACAGAGAAGTCCAAATTAAACATGATTTAATGACTCGTAAATGTAAGTACACATTGATGGCCTAAGACACGAAACGAGCGGTTTGTGTGAGAAAACGAACAGTATTTATATAGTTTTTACCTCTTGTAATCACAGCCATGTCCAAGTGATCTGAGGGCGCGTGCGCTTTGTGGAGACGAGGTAAAAACTATATAAATAATGTTCGTTTTCTCACACAAACCGCTAGTTTCGTGTCTTTAGATTTACGAGTCATTAAATCATGTTTAATTTGGACTTCTGTGCATGCTCTTTGAGGTGGTGACCATAGACTCCATTATATGGCTGACAGACAACAACGGTTTGACCTAAAAATATCAAAATTGAAAATACTGTGGAAACAAAGACACCTACATCTTGGATGCCCTTGAAGCGAAAACATATCAAAAATTAATTTCAAAGTGAACTATCCCTTTAAGATGTTTGGTGACCTGTGCACAAGAACACACAAGTCTCAATAGATAAATGTGCCACAAAAAATTGCTTAGACTGTAAATCTCATTTGCGTGCAAACAGAAGCCTATAGAAATTCTGTTCTATTCAAAAATAAACTATATAAACCAAAACAAAGATTGGAAATGTTAGACCTTGCCAAGACCATTCAGCAGAAAAAATGGTTAAATGCAGTTATTCTCTAGCTCCATCTGCTGACCAGCCCAGTCACATCAACTCCATGAAATCAATCTAGCACACCTCATGCCTCAGGTCTGCAGCATGACCTCTATACGTGATCATTCTAAATGTGTATGAAATATTTATCTACTGTATGTCTATACCAGTTTACTATCAACAGTTTTCAGGTCTGGATGAAGACTGTAGGTTGCACATTCAGGTCAGAGCAGTACTGCATGACAACTGAATTTGGCTCTTTTATTCATTCTTTCTTGTTCCTTCTCTCCCTCCCTTCCTCCTCCGACCTCGATTCTGTCTCTCTCTCTTTTCTTTTTTTGCTCTGCCCCTCCAGCTCTTGTTCCTCTGGAGAAGCTAAAGGGAAATCTAGGTTATGATGAAAATTCTCTTAGGCAATTGCGTGAAGCGTGTTGCAGTATAATATTTATCTTTATATAATCCATATATTTAACAAGACAACCAAGATTACAAGAGATCATCATTGTGAAGTGCCATTATTATGTTCTTGAGAAATCAGAGGTTCAGACTTCACCAGAAGGGGGCAGATGGTGACAGTGGTTTATTAGTATGGTTAAATGACCAAAGATTACCAGGGTCACTGGTGTTGTACTTGTGCAGTATGTTTTCATTTGTTTTCATCTTAATAAATTGCATTAAATATGCATGAGCATACAAAATTTAAAGATGGAAATCATGTCTCACAATGAAGTGAACATAGATGTGAGTTTTAAATAATTGTGCTTTTTTTTTGTCATGGATTGAGCTGATAGATTACTATAATATAGCCTGTTAAAATTGTCACTTTTTGAAGGTGAGCAAAAACACAGTTTTTGTGTCTGTTCCTTTAAATGCAAATGAGCTCCTTCTCCCAGCACAGGGGCGGAGCTTCAATAGCTTGTGTCCTTTTACCTCACACACACACACACTGGAAAATTCAAAAACTTTTAGCCATTTATGTTCAAACTGAAGTCCGAAAGATGGAGAGACTCAAGAAGGAGAGATGGAGAGACATTTCTGAATGGTTAGTTTACGAATTTATGTCTCTTATGTGTAGTTATATTTTAGTAAATAGCATAATCTGTCTTGATAATCTATAAATCGTGTTCCAGGTGGGGGTTTGTGCTAATTTTAGGTTTAGTGATGTCACTGTGGTGTTTGTTGTAGTCTTTAAAAATATATATTTTTAAAGAAAATATCTCCTTTTGCTTTGAGCTTTGATTGTTGTAACTTTGCAGATGTTGTTTATGCTCAAACAGCAAAATTACACTCTAACTAAAGTTAGAAAAGTGAAATCATAATCAACCACCCCTTTAAAGAAATATTTAAACATTTAGCCTTCAATATAGATCTTATGCATCAGAGAAACGTGGGCGCCGTCATCTTTAGAATATATTGTCTTTGAACTTCAATTCTTGAGGTCGCTCTATGGTGAAGTGGATTTACTTATTGTAGAGTTAACAAAAGTTATCATGAGCATTGTAATGTTTATCATAAGCATTGTAAAGCAGATGTCTTAACAAATGTCGACCGGAATTTTTTTTACAAGCAGTTTATTCATACCTATGCAAGATCGCTGTGAAAATACAAACCGGAAGTCAAAAGACAACGAGCGCAGTGCTGAAAAGGGGCGGGGCTACATAAGGTTGCTTCTGTCTTTATGCAAACTGTTTAAACCAAAACATGTTTTACTGTGAATAATGTTTTAATCGCTAATCCTTCAAATTATATCACTTTCCAACCTAATAGTCTCTTTTGTAATATCACTATAAATTACAAAAGCTATTTCCTAATGACATCATCTACAGGAAGTGACATCATTTTGGAGGGAAAACAACAGTGCAGTGCAAACATTAGTGAGTATAAGTGGTTTGACTTGAGTTATGAGTTATGTGATGTTAGTTTTTTCTCACTCTAATACTGTATATATACCATGCTGTCTGATAAAGTTACAGATATCAGCAGACATCCTAATTCAAAGTCAAATTATCTTGCTATTGTGCAAATAATCAAGCCATGATTGATAAAGCTTGATCAGAGTGTACAATAACATCTGAAAATGTGCAAGCACTTACAATTCATCTACTCTTAAAAAAAAGAAAGGTTCGAAAATTTGCTTCAGCAGAAAAAAGAACCATGTTTGGTTCCCCAAATAACATTTAAGTAAACAATCCTTAAAAGAAACTTTTTTCTTTGCTTGAAGAACATCTAAATTATCTGAAGAATCTTTTCCACTATAAAGAACATTTAATGGAATGGAAAGTTCCATGGATGTTAATGGAACCGTCAATGCCAATAAAGAACCTTTGTTTTTAAGAGTGTGTGGGGAAAAGCTTTATGATGAGTTTGTGCAACTCATGTTGTCAAAATGCTTATATTAATTATTCCATGCAAAATTGTTTTATTTAAGTTAATAATGGGATTGCATACTTACTGCATGTAACCTTGCACAAACAATTTTAATGATCTCACTAGTCTTGTCAAACACAATGTATGTTTGAATTTTCCTTATTAAACTCAAAATATTGAGTATTTTAACATGTATATAATATAGGCTTCCATTGTGAGTGCATTACTGTAATTATGATTCTTGCTTGTTTGTCAAAAGTATTTCTTGCTGTCATTAGAGCTTAGCTTGTATTGAGTGGGGAACATTTCTTTAATTCTTTTGAAAATGAACCTCATTGGTTCTTGCTGAAGCTCAAACGTGATGCGTAACACAAGAATGAACCTCATTGGTTCTCGCACGCCAAGCTAACATGCTTGAGCTTCCATTTACCACAACTGATGTGCAAGTTGATTAATGTTTATATTGTGAATAACAGCATAAATTAATTCTGTTATTATATAAAGTGATCGTGTCTCTTCCGAAAATTTGGACTAAACTGCTCAATTCACATGGATTCGTTTTATGATCTCTTTATGAACTTTTTAAAGTGTGTAAGTTATGTCAACGGAGGAACAGACATCTCTCAGTTTTCATTAAAAATACCTTCTTTTGTGTTTCGAAGATGAACGAAAGTCTTACGGTTTTGGAATGACATGAGGGTGAGTGAATGATTGCACAATTAAATTTTTTGATGAACTGACCCTTTATTTAGTCGGAGAGCAACTAAACGAACGTAAGCAGAATTCCCCCGTCACTGATGTCTCATGTGCCATTAACATGGAAGATTGCCTGCAATGTTGGCATGTTAAACACTTTTCCAAAACAGTGGTTGGTAATGCAGCTGTCCTGTCCCATCATCCTTAAAGCGGGGGGTTTGTGCATGCTCTCGGCTATTCTAGATTGATCGTAAACATCTAGCTCAGGGGGTCTGAGGATACTGAGACTATGGTGCAGTTTGAATCTATTTTTGTGTGGTTTAATGTATCACTCCTGCTTTGATGTTAGTCTGTTTTTATGCATTTTTACACACTTGCTGATGCATAATTCTAGAGCTGGATAATGAAGTTATTTATACTGTCTGCTGATGTAAGGACATTCGTTCTAGTATTTTACATATATTTATATATTTTAATCTTGAATGCAGTATCATGTCAGACTGGTTTCAAATTACACAGAAATGTTTCAAATTACTGGCTTGAAAAAAGCAATTTTTCTGTTATTTTGACATGGTATGTCAAATTTTCTTTTTTTTACCATTTTTTTAATATTATTTGTTTGGATGGATACACACACACACACACACACACTATATATATATATATATATATAGTACATATTATGATGGTACATGTACAGTAGTAGTATACTATCAGTATTTTATAAGTGAAGTTTCTTCTAAATGGATGTTATTGAAGCATCAGAGTGTATTTAGAAATGTGATGTCACTCTATCATCAATAACTTATTAGCACTTCACCACTGACAAACTGATTCATTTGGGTTGAATTATACATGAACCATATTAGGCGAATGTCATAATGAACATGTTGTACAGTATATCTCACTATTTTTGAATATATTTTTGCCAATATCTACATTTCTTTATTTCTTCAGAACTGAATTGTTTGCTAATGAATATATATTACGTGTAAGAGTGAATAATTGGATGGTATATAGAAATAGCGCTGATGTTCACATGATACCAAAGCATTAAAACCGCATGACAGTGACAGAATGATGTGTACATTACAGAGATACTTTTGTGCTCTATATTTGCCTTTGTCAACAGTGGGGCAAAGAAACGTGTGTACATGCATGTTTGTTTGTTTTGACATCATCATAATGGCTGACTGTTTATTAAAAAAAAAGTGTACTTGGTAATGTTAATAACATTGGCATACTCTTTGATAATGTAAATAGCACAGTAGAGCACACATATAATGAAACTGATGAAGTCAACATGGACATTTTGTTTTATTATATTATTTTATGCTGTGCTATATTTTTCTATTAGTGTTTGTACATCTTAGGTAATACTAGGACATGACTCTGTTTTTAAATTTAGCATTTGTCCCCCTCACCTTTCATTACATGTTTCCAATCTGCTGTCCAAGATGTTATAAAGTAAATATACACACTGGGACTATTACAGGCAAATCGATAAATCATTCAAATTATGCAGAGGCCTCTCTGGGGGCGACGTGACAGACTCACACTGTGTCTAACACAAATCTCACATGCAGGTGAAGTCTGTCAAGACTCAAGAAGAAAGAAAGAAATAAGAAAATATATTTTACATAAAGAAAATAAAGTTTATGATTAATATATATTAATAAGTATTTTTAGGACAATTATTCTTGTTATGCAAAATATTCCATAGTCATTACTGTAATGCAAAATAGATAGTTTAAACCATGTTAAATGTGCAGTATTGTTTTGTTTTTATTATATTTGTGTGTGTGTGTGTCACAAAATTGCAAAATATTGTATTGTTATATGATAAAACGATTTACTCTTCTACACTTTAAAATGGTTCTTTTAAACTGTGAGCAATGAACTTATATTTAAATGTATTATTTATATTGACATTTTTGCTTTTCTGCTTTCATTTGACAGCTCAGGATAGTCACTGGTGGGACTGTTTTTGTTCATATGGTGCCATCAACCAATCAGCACTGTGTATGAAAGATGACAGAGTGCAGATCGTGGATTGTGAAGGATGAATGCAGCAGCCGAGGTACTGAAATTGACATTTTAAAAAAGCCAACAGATATCTTTCTCCTGGTATTACAGACCTCCTTGTACAAACTGGTTGGCTATATACTTGTATATACAGGTTTGATACCTCATATACTTTATATAAAAACTTGTCCAACACGTTAAAAGTGTGATGTAACAAACCTCCGTCCTCAAGGGGGCGATAGAGGTACCTTCAGATGTCTGTGCAGTTAAACTGGATGTGTTGTGGCAGATCATTTCAAGAAAATAAAAAGATAATGTTCAAAATGCAGCATGACATTAGATGCTCTTTACAATAGATTGCGTCCATTGTGACAGGCTGCAGATTTTACACAAGATAATTTGTTTAGTTTTGCACATGAAGAAATGGTTGTGAAAGGCGAAATCTGTTTGTAAAAGAAAAATCGAATGCGTGATAATCTGTCAAATCTCATCAGATGTGTTCAACAAGGCCCAATCAGTGACTTCTGTGTGCATGCGGTCGGGGGTCGCGACACGCTCCCGAAGCAGAACTGATTGCATCTATTGATACGAGAAAGAACGGGAGAAAGAAATGCAGGAAAGCAGTTGGCAGAAAAGGGAATCAAGATTCAAAAAGAGAGGGGGGAAGATAGGGAGGTGAGAAGGAAAAGTGGAGAGACATGGTTTATTTTCGAGCATGGGCATCTTGAGCAGGTGCTACTGCGTGCTGAGAGTGTCTGAGGACACTTTGAGTATCTGATCTGAGTCATAATCAGATATGACTCACAAACCACACCAGCCCTTATTAACATAGAGAGAGAGAGAGAGAGAGAGAGGAGGGACGTCTGGGTGTCGTTTAACACCTTTTGCAGTACCTGGTGACAGTCCCTTATGTAAGCTTTGTACTTCTGGTTTAATTCAGACTCATCGGATGGCTAAATTAGGTGCCCCATGTGGTAAAATGGCATCGACTTCGAGGGCGCTCTGAGAATCCTGAAGCTCTTGCATGAAAATAACTGCAGTTCCAAGTCTTAAAAAATGCTCCATGGTAAAAAAATCATATCAGATGATAATGTCAACTTTGGACTGTGACATGTTTCACAAAGTTGCATTTGTAAAAAGTGATCAGTGGACTCAACTTAAAAAGTGAGGAAACCCATTGATATAAAATTATTTTATACCAAAGTACACTGTAAAAATGAATATGCTTTATCTAATCAATAAAGCTGTGGCAACAGATTACAAGCAATTATATTAATCAAATTGAAAAAATTAGAATTGAGTAATAATATTCCTTAAAAGTTAACCATTTAAAATGAGTAAAGTTTACACCAAAAAATTAAAAAGAAATATCTGAATAACAGACAGACATCAAAGATTAATTATTTTATATTATCTTTATTTTATATTGGCAACATTGAAGACACCTGATGTTAACTAGCAGAATCACTGAAGGAGAAAACCCTCATTTTAAAACAAACCTGAAAACAAACACTGATCACCACAATGGTGACTTAAACATACTTTAAAAAAAAGTTGTACTCATTTTAAATGGTTAACTTTTAATGAATTAATTTGATTAATTATTTCTCAATTCTTTTGTTAAATTTAAGTAATAATATTGCTTGCAATCTTTTGCCACAATTTTTTTGATTAGCTAAAGCACATTCATTTTTACAGTGTATTAGCCTACCATTTTACCATGCCCTTACAAAATATACCATGGTATCAAATGCACGGATGTTTTTTGTTGGACATGTACCATAATACAACTATGATAAATTCTTGAAAATCTTGTGATTATAAAAGTCAGTGTTTAATAATTTGTTTAATATATTATCATGGATTTTTATGGTTCTTCAAAGAATAGCATGATATTATCATGATTTTTTTTTATGTTGTACTATGTCCCATAAAATCTTGGTAATTCCATAGTTTTTTTGTAGTGAAACTAGAATTAATCTGACTTGTGAATTGATATATTCAGTTCATGTCATACCCCCAAAAAAGTAGAATTGGCGTGAAAGAAAGTAATGACGCTATATTAGTCACAGCACGACAAGCTTGTCATACCAAGCTGCTGACAAAGCACAGTAAAAATATTGTGGTGAATATATAGCTCAAGGGTACGTTTTGTAGGTCAGGTTGTCTGTTAATAGAACAAAGACAGAAATACAAAGTGACTTCAACTAGCTTATGTTAATCTATTATTATTTCTACCCGGTCTGGTAACCCATTATTAATAGATAATAGAGTCATTCCCAAATAAATCGGCTAAAAAATAAATAAATACAGTTCTGCAGTCATAACTTTATGATGAGACCCAGCCCCAAAACATGTGGTACTTTTTAGCTAGCATTGGCTAACCACAATGTGTGAACATTAATAACCTTTGCTAAATAAACTTGGCTTTCCTATACATCATTATTTACTTAATATGAAATATTGCAACATCAACCATGTTTTGGCTGGTTAGCATAAGCAGAGACAATTAGCGATACAGCTGTGTGCTAACTCTGTGCTAAAATGCAGGGTTGGCTTGTTTACAAGGAGTGTGAGGACACTAATTGTCTCATCCAAGCTGGTTTCTAATGATACCCAAGCTGTCAAACCACCACTGCTGTGTGCGCTAAAGCTAGTTACGCTGACACGTAGTGCTGTCAATGAAAAGACTGATACTGTGCAGGGCTAGCGTCATTGTGTAGCACAGTGTTGATTAGCCCATTTCTCATGGTCTGTTAATGAGATGACTGCGTTAAAGAACAAATGGTTTTATATGCAGTTCAATCTTTGTGCTAATGCCCAAGTGAGATTAGACATGCATTCAGGTTATTGAGTTGAATGTCGGCTCGTTGTATTTATTGTAATGTGTTTTTCGATGCTAATAGCTTTATCGTTTAAGTCACTGCGAATTGTTTACGTCCAGGACAACAGAGTCTAATAGAGTTCTCAGTTATGTATAATTTCAATATGTAGTGTACAAATGAGATGTTGTGGAATTTTCTTTAAATAACAAATACATTTCCGAAATTTCAGAATGATTGCGGATCATTTGGAACCCAAGACTAACCCAATAAGAAAAGTTTGAGTTCATATTGAGTTTGAATTTGATGTTGAAATATCTTCTGAAACAGTAGACAGACAAAAGTCTCCATTTGTTCTTCATATAATCTTATTGTTGAGATTAACAGTTGCAGTATTAAATCTATTACTGAGATGTCAGAAAAAAAGGTACGAAAGCTGTCACTGGGGCGGTACCTTTTCAAAAGGTACACTTTTGTACCTAAAGGGTGCATATTGGTACCATAATTGTACAAATATGTACTATGAAGGTACCAATATGCACCCTTTAGGTACAAAAGTTTACCTTTTGAAAAGGTACTGCCCCAGTGACAGCTTTCGTACCTTTTTTTCTGAGAGTGTATAACTTATCTCCCCAAGGAAAGCCGTTTAGATCTGTGAATGAGTTAAATGTGAATTGTCTGAGGTTGTGAATGTCTTGATTTTACAGATTACGAGTTGCTACATTGAGGAGTCAGTGAAGCTTTTAATAAGCATTAATGTGAGTATGTTGAGCTGCGTTGTGAGGCAGTAAATGCATGCAGCTGGTGGTGTTAGCGGTGATATAAGTGACGGTTTCTTTCCTCGGTACACTCCTACTCCGTATGTGAGTCACCAAAAGCCAAGGGAAGCAGGAAGAGATGAGAACAACACCCAAAATGACAGTTGTTTTATTTTTGTCCCCACCAAGACTCAGGAATCTTGTGTGGGAGCTAAAAACAGGCAAAGACATTTATGAGGAGGACATTTATTTCTTATAGAATCACTTTGAGTTATGGGACCATGCATTTTATTATTACCATGCATGAGCTGTGCAAAGTTATAATGAGAAAGGCTGAATAAGAAAAGAAAATGTCGATTTTGGTTTGTAAATATCTCTTGAATATCGACATTAGAGATATTATTTAAACTTTGTTTTTATTAAGCCCATTTATTTTACATTCTAACTACAGTATGCATGATTGAATGGCTTGTTGCATTTTATTACTGTAGCACAACACAACTAATATACTTTTACGTTATCAGGCAGTGCAAATTGAGTCTTAAACTGGTTTTGCTTCACAACCAAGATTTTACATTATTTACAAATGAACAAATGATCTTACCAAAGTACATAAAAAGTAATATTATGAACTATGCAAAATAAGAAACCTGTGCTTTGTGAATGTCTCTCGAATATCGATGATTATCGACATGTTTAAACGTTAATAAATCGGTTTAATTTGCTATGCTGTTTATTTTACAAATAGTGACAAAGTACCATAATTATCCTGCAAAAGTAGGGCAATTTAATTTTGATGGGACACTTTCTGCCATTGAGGTGACTGGGAAAACTAGTTATTTCCCCTGACTATGAGGTTCAGCAGCTTTGTTGTATAAAACAGTGTGGTCTGGGTCAAACTTTTGTCTTGGGAATTTTTTTTATAAACTCATTCAAACACTCAGCGATACCAATTTCAGTGGTTTTCTCTTCTGGTTTTGTGTCACATGGGCCTAACATGCAAAATGAGTAACACTACATGACCCAGACTGAACACTTTTAATTTTGTTTTCTACATATCTCTCAAATAAAAATGACTGCAAGCATTTGTTAACCCTTGCTGCAGATGAACCTATGTATTTAATGTAGTCTGGGTCTTTTTTTAATCTTGCATAGTTTCGTTCATTTGACGAGCAAGCAATCTGTATAACTTTTACCAACAGTTGAATTTGCTGCAAAATATACAGTTTGATTAAATGCATTATATATGGGAAGTGTTTCTCCACCCGTTTAAACAATTGGAAAGCCTGCTATTTTACCATTCTAACTATGTATGATTATATGGCCTGTTGCGTGTTATTTAAAATGAGCTCTTCGTGACCTAATCAGAACAGATCTGCAGCCCATTTTTTGGGTTGGAGCACACCAGTTATGAATCACATTATTACTGCAGTTCAGCAGTAATCTAGTTGTTTAATGGTTAACCTTATGAAAATGTCTAGCAGATTTATACTCATAATCACCATTTTATCAGAGAAGCAGCATGAGTGTGAAACAGAGGATGTGCAAATCCAAGGCTCATCCCAAGTTTTCCCTCAGCACGACTCCTGCTTTAAATAGCTTGGCTTGCGGTTTAAGAACAGGCCTGTGTATCAATCAACAGAAGCGCGCACATGCACAATTCAACACCCGGTCTGCAAAAATAGATCATCAAACTGAGTGCTGGCACGTTGTACAAAAATATGCCACGGCAGTGGAGAAGAGCATGCATTTGTAGCCGTTTTATCAGGATCTTTATGCGTCTTTGAGCAGTTTTGGGGTTTGATGAGGTCATGGGTGCATCTAAAACAAGAGCCACAGTCAGGTTGGATGTCTGTGATTTTTGCATGGTTGCACAGTTGGACAGAAGTGTTTTTGGTTGGTTATAACGGGGCCACCTGTTATTCCACTGGGGAAATTCCATTAGCATGTTTAGGGTCATGGTGATCACCACCCACCTCAGAGGACACTTCCTCTTCCCATTCATATAAAAGACTGGTGACCACCAGTAGAGCCCAAACGGATTATAAACCTGGAAATTGCAACTTACCAAACCAGCAAACACAAGAAGAAGAACCATGAGTACGGCTGCCGTTCAACCCAACCAGTCTTTAAGCAGAGCCGTCAGAAAGATCAAGGTGGCTTCGGCGGTGAACAGCCTTGCCAAAAGCTGGCAAAGCTGGGCGAATAAACACACCGACCAGCAAGACACGATCCCAAGCGGCTGGATGCCTGACACTATCATCGAGGACGAGAAAGAGAAGCAGAAGGAGAAGAGTGAGATGAAACTCTTGGTCACTCCTCGTGTGGTGTCGGAGAACAGCGAGGACTGCGAGGATGACCAGATCAAGACTGTATCCGTGACTAAAGCCATCACGCCAAAATGTAACGAATACGGAAAAGACCAAGTGAGCATCATCAAGGACAAGATCAACACCAATCAGCTAACCTCAGAGGACACCAAAAACTTCCTCGGCAACGAATCTCCCACCAGGAGACGCTACTGTGGTTGGAAAGCTGGAAACTTTGCGAAGACAACGGGATCCCGGAGTAGCAGTTTAGATGCAGAGGACAGCGGTCTTGGGGAGGAAGCGTCTCTGAGCGACACCAGTGATCAGAATGAGAATGAACCAAAGAAGCATGTCACCAGACACAAGGTAGGTTGATCCATGTGAATCAAGCTATGATTATGGCGTATGTTTTGGTAGTTAGAAGCAAATAACTACTAACCCCCGCCCACAATTTTAGTATTAGTACAAATAACATATTACTACTTTTGATTCACATAGTGAAATGTTTGATATTTTACATATCTACTAGTGCTGTCAGTTAAACGCTTTATTAACGGCGTTAACTTTAATGGCGTAATTTTTTTTATTGCGCTATTAACGCGCTGCTCTATGAAACCCCTTTATTGCAATGGCTTGCGCCGTGTGAGGACGTTTTGTTGCTTCGTCGACCAAAGCGCAAGCGGATCTACTGTAGCTAGACCGGAAACAAAACAACGGGCACGCCGCACACACTCGTTTGGGCTTGCGAGCCAGCCAAATAGTTGGTTAACGTTACGTTTTGAGTGGATGACGAGCGCGAGACGCCGAAATCGATGCCAATACGATTCTGAATGTAAAGTTTACTTTTAAAAAGTTGCCAAATGGTTCCATCGGCAAGACCAAAGTGATCTGTGTGTTTTGTCGTTGTGAACTGAGCGATCATCATCGCAGCACGTCCAGTCTGAAATACCACTTGATGATGGCCAAGCGCACACACACACACACACACGCACACACAGCTGATGCGAATTCTCTGCCCCCTCGTCAATATCAGGACCTCGTCAGTATTTCTTTCACCCTTTTATTGATGGACAGTGTTGCATTGTGTGAGAGAGTATTTGCTCCAAGTGAGAATTTTAGTTTGAATTTGAACACAATAAATGACAATGTTGTTTTCAATAAAAAAACATTTGCACAAAGCAAGCTGATCCACTTTTCCATGTTGATAAGAGCATTAAAATGAGAAAAAATAATGGGACAAGAAGAAATAAAGAGACATTTAGAATAGATAAAAATGTGCGATTAATCGCGAGTTAACTGACATTAATGTGATTAATCGCGAGTTAACTATGACATTAATGCGATTAATCGTGAGTTAGCTATGACATGCAATTAATCGCGAGCTAACTATGACATTAATGCGATTAATCGCGAGTTAACTATGACATGCGATTAATCGTGAGTTAACTATGACATTAATGCGATTAATCGCGAGTTAACTATGACATGCGATTAATCGCGAGCTAACTATGACATTAATGCAATTAATCGCGAGTTAACTATGACATTAATGCGATTAATCGTGAGTTAACTATGACATGCGATTAATCGCGAGTTAACTATGACATTAACGCGATTAATCGCAAGTTAACTATGACATTAACGCGATTAATTGCGAGTTAACTATGACTAATGCAATTAATCGCGAGTTAACTATGACAGTAATGCGATTAATCTCGATTAAATATTTAATCGTTTGACAGCACTAATATCTACATGTAACAGTGGCTGTAAAAATCGCACAACGAAGAGAATGAACTAGATTCATCTTTAATCAGAAAAAACAACGGAAACACAAACAATAACTGACAATGACTAAACTGAACAGAGGCTATGTATGCAGGGGATAATCAGGAACTAAGTAAGATATAGCTGATGATAATTAATTGAAGAAACAAACAGAGACATTAATCAAAACAATAAAGTTAAGTATAGATTTAGCCTGTCACAGTCTCTATACACTGTCGTTGCAGCACAATGTTCCATCATAAACTCTGCAATGGAATATATGTAAATAAAAACAGTGATGGATCATTTACATCTGACCTTCAAAAAGCAGCATGCTCTCCCTCAACTTGATGAGTGAGATCCATCACAGCTGTGTCACCCTGGTGTTTGATTCACCATCTTGCGTTTCACAAGACGCATTTACGCCGGTTCAAATGGCGCCCTTGTGAAATAAGTGGCCCTCGGAGATATCATGGCAAATATTTAGCAGTAATGCACAGGCATGTCACACAGTAGTGTTATGTGACTGTCTGGTGACAAGCCAGGTGTCTACACCTCAAACAAGACCTGAATAATAGTATAAAAATCATAGCGGCGATGATTTTTCACGATCTTATGACAAACAATCACGATATGAATCACAATCTTTCCAATTTTAAGATGTACTATTGAGAATATACAGACTGGAACAATATATGTGCTCTTCTATTTGCACAATTTAAAACAGGATTTCATTAAACAATAAGTTGGCAAACTAGTCATTAAATCCAGAGTAAAACTCTCACTGTATGAATTAAGTATACATTGATTCTTATTAAAACTACTAAAGTTATTCAGTCAAGAGCAGTGTGATATTGTCTTTTGTTGACACAGATAGCCGCAGGTTTTTGCATTAGGCTGTTAGACTGAAGGCATTGATCTAATATAATGACACACATCCGATTTCTTTCCCAAATGTTTATTCACTTAATACATAACTGACTGTCTTTATGTAGATATTCGCCAAGACGGACATTTTGGCATATGTTTGTGTACAGTATATTACCGTTTAGGTGCTCACCTGAAACCCCAAGTATACTTTGTTCGTCCGTGATCCGCTCCGTCTCGCAGAAAAATTACTGATCTTATTGTGCACATTAAATAATGAACAAAAAAAACATTATCCTTGGAATTCTGCTTTAAATTATAATATAATTATAAATAAATGTTACTGTGTTAGTGTGGGGCTATTTTGAGCCTTGTTAGTGGTATAAACTAGCGATTTCTTTTATTAAATGCCCCCATTACTAGAGTTAAATTCTAAAGTTTTATCTCTAAAGTTTTTAGAGATAAAACTCTTTACATCCGATTATCATGAAAGCAAATCTCAGAGAACGGACGACTAGGTACCAATGTGTAATTAGACTAAAGGTTCATTTTGTGCCGGAGTTCTCCTTTAATAACTTCCATGAGAAAGTTTTGCGAGCAAACACAACATTTGCATGCAAATGCTTTGACATTGAATTTTCCCTTTATTTCCGTAACTATGTCTCTTTAGGGGCTCCATAAAAATCCAATGCAAATTAGTAAAGATTATTAAAGATTTGATTATTTTTTTTATCATTTAATTTTCAGTATTGACTTTTATTATCCAGACTCCATTTTATTTTGCAGCACCTCTATAATTTTTTAAAACATCCCATTGACTATGCGTTTCTTAATAACATTGCCATTTGTGTTCGTTTCAGATTAAAATAACCACGATGAATGACCTGAAGAGCCGGTGGCAGCAGTTTGCTAAAGAACACATTGAGGGTCAGAAGCTCAACCCTTTCAGTGAAGAGTTTGACTATGAGCACGCCATGGCTACTCGACTCCAAAAGGGCGACACAGGATACGGCCGGCCCAAAGAGGGATCCAAGACGGCCCAGCGTGCCGATCGAGCCCAGAAACACATCTATCGGGAGATGGATGAGATGTGCTTTATCATTCGCGACATGGGCCAAATCAATGAGGAGGGACTTCGCTGGGTCACCTTCGGCCGCCTGTTTGACCGATACGTTAAAATCTCCGATAAAGTTGTGGGAATTTTGTTGCGCTGTCGTAAGCACAAGATGGTGGACTTTGAGGGCGAAATGCTCTGGAAGGGCCAGGATGATGATGTTATAATCACGTTACTGGTTTAATGTTCTGGAAACTAACCGTAACGTGACATTAGCTCAATTCTTTTCAAAATACTGTAGCTTGTCCACTTAAAACAAGTAATGGTGGAGCCATTTTCAAAATGTACTTTGCTGTTTTTTACGCATTGCAAAAGCAAATTCAAACAAATGATTTCCATTACACGAGAGTAGATGTTAAAACTTCATGCTGATTTGTACACAAACTAAGACGTAGCTTTACAGTAAACTATGCTTCTTCATCCATTTATGCTTCTTTTGATGATTGTTTTTTGTTTGCACCAGATAAAAACTACTTTCAAAAGGATAGCTTGAGTGTAGTTGAACTACTTTAAGTTTCAAATTAGTCTCTCTTACACTATTTATAATTTCTTAAGCAGGATGAAATAGCAGAACCTTGAGAACGTTCCAGAAATCTGATGAACTCTCTGAGATGTTTTGGTGCATGAGGCGTCAGGAGTTAGTTTTAGAGGTGAGACTGTGAAGGTTTACACGAGAAAATCCTCGATGTCTAGACATGTTTTGGAAATAATCTCATGTTTCAGACAAAATCATGTTGGCCCTGTGAGAGCAGAGTTAAGGTTTCTTTGAAGTTTTTGCACAATTATTAATTCCCATCTGAATATTTTGTTCATTTGCGTCTGTTTTCAAACACAACTGTTGTTTTATTGTCCACTGTTTGTCACCATTAATAACCTCTTTCAAAATGAAAGCATGATTGTCTTCTTACAGAAGGATTTGTTATAAATATTTGATTATGCAGTATAAAAAATTATTTATTTGATGTGTAATTATTATTCTGTCAGTTAAGGATGAAATAAAACCACAGAAAACCACATTGACCTTATGAGAGGATGTCTGTGTTTTCATTATTTGTAGGATTGAATTGGCTTAAATAATTGTACATATTTTTGTGTTTACTTCATGCTTCAAATAAATTGTAATATATATATATATATATATATATATACACACACACACACACACATATATATATATATATATATATATAGGATTTAAGATGTTTATTTTAATTATTATATAATATTAACAACAATAATGATTATTATTTTTATTATGAAAATGTGAAAAAAAAACATTTTTGGTTTAGGGTTGAGATTTAAGTTAGTATTTTTTAATTTCAATTAGTTCAATCGAGTGAGGACATGCAATAGAGAGAGATAGTGTGTGTGTGTGTGTGTGTGTTTCAGATATTCCCCAAGTTATGGGAACAAAAAGCCCCACAATGATGGCAATAATTGAAAATCCTGTCCTTGTGGGGATGTGTGTGTGTGTGGGGTGTGTATAAATGAACCCTTTGTAATTACATCAAACAGGGACGAGATTATTCATCTGTCCCTTTGTAAGTGACAAATAGTGGATAAACACACATACACACACACTCATAATGAAACAACCGTATCCTCTAAATACCAACATCCAGCTCAATTCCCAAATCAAGAGTGCTTGATCTAATTTTCCTTGATCTAACTCTTAAAAAGCCATTTCGTCTCCTAGTAAAGACTCAAATGAAACTGACAGACTGGGTAACTATAACACTCGAGCAGTCAGAAATATCTGATTCTCATTGATGTCCTCAACAAGCTCATCTTTATCTGTCAGTTGTCAAAGGTTATCAGATGTTTTCAGAGTAAGTCTTCTCTAAACCACAGTGCTTCAGGGAGCTCAGTCATCAGATGCACGCATGTTTTGTAAATCAGAGTGAGCTATTTATTCTTTATAACCATTTGCAACAGAGTAACAATACACTAAATTGTGCATTAATTAACAGTGACATTATTACGAATTCAAATTCATTATTTTACATATAATAAATAATAATAATAAGGATTAAACAAGTATCTCCACAAAGAAAAATATCACAGCATCCAATTTAGGAATATGTCGATTATTTTGCCACATCAACTTCAAGTATATTTGATATGGTATATCGTTAATTAGTAACAAAAATACGTGGTGAAAAATGCGATGATGAAAGGCCATGACTATTTACTAGATTAAAATAAAAATGAATTACAAAAAGAAAGAGAAAGACAGAAAATTAGAGTTGCAATACACAAAAAACAGAAAACATTCTTGCATGCTCGTTTCTCCTCCGTACAATTGAATTGTGTTAAGACCTCTGGTTTACAAGTTAAGGCTTTACAAAAAGTATTCCTAGTATTAATTCAACATGTAAAATGAAGATAATTAATTTGTATACTCTATAATTTACATTCTTTAAAACATCTGGAGTGTATTTGCAGTTTAAAAGCTAGTAAATATTTCCAATCCAGTTTACAGTATCAGAAAGACCATCATGCTGATAGAAACAGAAGAAGTGTGTTGTCCAAGGTATTACAGCCTAGAAAACTAAAATGTCAATATTGACATCCTTTGACCATTAACTGTTTTGCCCACTAAATCCAAGGTGTCTATTTACAATAAACAGACAATAAAATGAAACATGTAGTTTTTTGCTGTATATTAAATGGATGCATTTCAATATATATGGTATGGTTTATATTAAAAGTACACTATGTAACTTTTTGTTGTTCAAAATCATAATGAATCAATTTATATTTTAGATCTAGCGGGAAGGTTTTCGAGGGAAATCGCATAAATATGTCACTCACCCTTGTGTTGCTCCGCCTACTTTGACACGTGTCTGGTGTGATGCTGCGTTCACTTGCTATGGAAAGTAGGATATTTTCCACTTGTGAACTGGTATTTACCAGTGTGTTGCGTTCAAGTGCTTTTGTTGTCGTAATGTGGTAAAAAGATGGAGATCCAGACATGTTATTTAGCTAAAACTATTTTAGATTGCTTAAGTCATCTGCAACAGCAAGACAATGATTTATCAAAACTCAAAAGGTAAATAATATGCTGTATATTTTCTAGATCATACAGTATATATTTTTACCATTCACGACTCTCGCGGTGCTCTCCGCCATTTTGAAAAGGTCAAAGTTTATCTCATCTCGGCAACTCGTCCATCAAAATATTCTACGAGTTGCCCAGTGGAAAATACCACACGAGGGGGTGTTCATGTGCATTTTCCACGTCGGCTATTGGTATTTATTACCATAGCACATGAACACACCATGAGTCGCATACAAGGGGTCCACCAGCCAGAAACTGAAGCTATCACTTGCGTTAGCATTTCCATTGACTCCCATTCATTTTGGCGTCACTTTGACAGCGAATTACTTTACATCTGAGGTGTTCAAAGACTTCATTTGTCCATTATTTATTTCTTAAGAAACAGGACAATAGATAAAAGGCTCCATTACTTTGTATCTTACGTTATGGCCCCGTAGAAGCCGTTTTTGTGAAAATAGGCTAAAGAATGTGTCATTACCACGGGACTCTCTGTCGTACAGTAGAGAAATGACCGTATAGACAGAAGTAGAAGCTCGTAGGCAATCTTTTACTGTCTTTGAGGCAATCGGGTGGTATATCTATTTTAAGCTTAGTAGTGGCCGTCTTATGAACAGTAGGATAACCATATTCATCCGAAGAGCCAAAGCACAACCAAAACAATGTTCTTCCACAAAATGCATGCAGTTTTGATTTTTAACCAGTAAAGGCCCAAAAGTTACATAGTGTACCTGTTATATAGCGCTAATCACTACATTTCTCAATTTTCTAAGCGTTTTCCAAAATATTCATTTCTTTTAGCCCATCATCAACACAACATTTTTTGGCACTAGATTCTTGAGGATCTCAGACATTCAGCGCTTCGTCTAAAACTGAGCATTTTCTATATTGCTACATGGATGCAGAAGTTTCTAATGTAATGAAGAGAAAATCTGGCTTTACTCCCTGTAACAAACAAAGTGAGCAAAAATTGATTTAGTTATTGCTTTTTAGGACAATGAACATTTAATTCTTCAAAAAGAATGTGGCAGTGCTTGTATATGGCCTTAACAACATGATAATGTTGAGGGTGTTTGAGGTATGTTTTTCAGCGGTAATTGAAATAATCACTCCCGGGATTCTCCGAGAGGAATCAATCTTTTTAAAAAATCCTTTTGTCTAGTGGTAAATTGTGTATTTTCTTCACAAAAAGTCCTTTTTATGCTGGACATAAAAATTCTTCTCTATGCAGAATGCTGTTTTCTTCCCTTTAGTTTTAGCATGTAGGCCTATACATGTTTTGCTTTTCATCATTTCAGGACATATGAAAAGAATTTGAATCAGTATTATTTAATAATAAAGATGTCACACAGTATTTCTCTGTGCAGTGTAACAGTATTCGTTTGATCATTCGCTGCTACATGTTTGCTCGACTGCCAGCGAAAACGCTCTAAAATCCAATTCCATGCAAAATCTCATTAGATCGTGGCAAACTAAGATGCCTTTCATGCGTATGCTACTATCTAATGCTACAACCTTATCATTGCTACTAAAGATTCTGCATCCTGAAGTCACAAATAATATAAAGAAGAAAATGGCTTATAGCGAACTAGCGATTGCTTGTAAGAAAGACATTTAAGATTAAAAAGTGCAAAAAGAAATGATCTTTTTAGAATTTGTGATTTCGACCAAGGGTGAGTTTCCCGAAAGCATCGTTAGCAAACTAAGGTTGCAAGTTTCGTTGTTATCAGCAAAGTTCAACAAGTCGGTGTTACCCGAAACCATCGTTCCAATGAACATTCGCAAACAGGTTGTGACCTGTGGTTGGAGCGACAGCTCTCGATCTGTGGTTAGAAGCATAGTATGCTGACATTCAGTACAATATGTATCTTTTATTTAGAATACATACAAATGTAACTTACGTCTTTTAGTTTGTCAAGAGTTTTAAAGCACCGTTTTTGAAGAGTGTGCATGTGCGTACATGCCCTAGTATGTAAGAACGCCTTAAATCTGGACGTAAAGCTAAATAACTGAGAAAGATGAGAATTAGTCCGCAGATGCCATTCGATCTCAATTCGATCTCAAACGGATTCATTAAAAGAAGTTAATACTCTACCACGTGCGTGACATCGTTTACCGGTTAAATGACAAATTTGCGACAATACGGTTTCGGGAAACAGTCTTGACTAGCTAGTTCTGTCGTTGTACGGAAAAGCGTCCCAGACCGATTAATTTGAAATAAATTTGGCAAATTTTTTTGTCCGATTGGCCGCATGGTGTTAGTTTTGTCGGAAATTTTCTTTTTTCAAATATTTGTCATTTGTTATTATAAAATATGTGCATATCATATCTGCTTTCTATCACCCTGCTCTGTAGATATCAGCCATTAAAAACCTCTTGGTCGCTACTGCAGTTATAACTGTAAGTATTTACTGACATTTATTCCATAAACACTCTATAATCCTATGTTACTTAAGTGTCTTGCACCCATACGAGGCCTAGTGTGGAAAAACGTACAGTGATGGAACTGGAATATGTCACTGTTACCTCGGGAAAATATTAGCATCTGTCTTTTTAAATTTGTGTCTGCCTAGATTATTGATTCACAAAGCATCTAGTCACTGAATATAGACACAGATAACCACAAATAAAGCCACTTGCTGGCAACATTGGCACTGTTCAGTAATGAGAAAGACGAAACGGAAGAGACACGAACAGAAAAAGATCCGTGTGCAAAGCAAATCATGAAGCAAAAACGACTCTTTTCAAACTACACGTTTTGGATCTTTTTAAGACATGTATCTATTCCTGTATTGTTAATTACGTAAGATAATGAATGCAAACCCGCACTTTTTTACCGATACATTCTTCTTTCTATTAGATGTCATATTGCACAAACCCATCCGTTTCATCTAATAGGAATCAATCCATTGCAGAGCCCACAAACATTGGCCTGTTTTCTGGAAATCAATTCAAAATCGAGGACATTTCCTCTGAAAGACGTACGGACCATCACAAGCTAATGTGTTGAAAGCTAAAATAAAGCCCAGACGTTTTGCTCTGCGTTCTTGAAGTCTTTTTCTCAGAGGCTGAAAAAGAGCATTTCCTCTGTGGTGGATTCTGGAATATTCCAGAAAGGCTATTAGTTCCGAAGAAATTCTAGAACATTCCAGAGGGTTCCAGTGGGTTCCGCAGTCATGCACAACCAGCGCTTTTAGGGCAGGGGCTGTGAGAGCCCTTCCAGAGAAAACATAAATCTAGTTGAGTTGTTGGTCTTAGGAGCGTTCACAGCACGGGCCCACGGTGCTCTCCAGAGAGAGCTGTGAGGAGTGTCGGATCAACGGCGCCATTGTGGGATCCACCATAGAAGAGGTGGGGAAAAGCTTGTACCAGCCAATCACCATGTTTGTCAAATCCAACTCCTCCAATAGGATGCGTGCCACGCCCATGAAGCATTTACGATCCATCCGGCCGTAGTTCCCCCAAACAATGACCTGTTCACGAGAGATGGAAGTATTATTTATCATATATGAAACAATCAACAGTACTTTTGACTATAATATTGTTAAAGAGTAACTAAACACTTAACCAACTTTTTTTAGTTAATGATCTGAAAGAATGGATCTTTATTAATACCAGTCATTGATTCGAGTAACTTTTTTGACATTTGTTTAAAAAGTGTTCTATTTCTACAATATATGGTGTAAAAGCGTCTTAGTGCTGCCCTCTTCAGGTTGAGCGGTGGCTACTGCAGTTAAAATTTCCTATTGGCTGTTCCGCACTTTGTGATGTACGCAGGTTTCAGCTCACCACGCGAGCTACGCCCTTGGCAATATAAAAACCATCTTGCGTCGTCAAAACCACTGTAGGGAGTCAGGAATTGAAATTGTGAGTATTGAAAACGATCAGGATAGAGTGTTTTAGCATCTATTTCGTCCTCTCTATCTTTAATTACACCACAAATATCTGAAGAAAATACTAAGAAATCCTGTTTTGCTTAAAGAAAATGTAGCCTTTTCCAAAAAAAACTTTTGTGATTATTCAATTATTTTCACGACAATAAACCAATTTTTATTAAAAAAAAAATATTGCCAGTGGGTGGAGTCAGGCTCTAACCAGGGGTTTAGTTACCCTTTAACTTAACGTATTTAAAGCTACACTGTGTGATTTTTACCCCCATCTAGCGGTGAAAAGGTATATGACCATCCAGTGAATATTAGTTTCTGTTCCTCTCGATTCCGATTTCGTTTTAACTCCTATGTGGCCAATGTAGTCCAAGATTAGTTCGACCAGTTCGACCTCGTCCATGGTTGTTAACTCAAACGTAAACGTGAAAGGCGAAGTTTGAATTAACGGGTATGTCCCTCTTTGGCTAATGTACTTTCAAGATGGAGGGGCAACATGGCGGCCAACATTAGAACCCCTTACCCGTATGTATTTTCAATGGCATATTAAACACTCACGACTTGAACGAAGTAGATATATATTAATAAGCACATATATTTTTGAAAGATGTAAGTGTTTTTTAGCTAAGAATAAACTAAAAGAGTTACACGGTGTAGCTTTAAATGTAATACATAATTTCATAATTCTCGATTTTTAATTAATCATAATTCACAATGATTTCAATGATTTGAATCTGGGGAAATCTCACAATTTGTATATAATCTGTATATATATAAACATTTATTTGTATATATAAATGTATATAATGTTTGTAATTCATAAATTTGAAATTGATTTAATTCTCAATTTTAAATGTATCAAATTTTGTTAGGTTCATTAATCTTATGTCCAGAAATAAATGTCCAGATCACTCCAAAATGAAAAGTAATTATATTTTGCATAAAGAAAATAAAGCATATTTTAGGAGCATTACGATTTTTTTTATATAAAAATTGGTTTATTGTCGTGAAAATAATTTAATAATCACAAAAGTTCCTTAAAGTAGGCTACATTTTCTTTAAGCAAAACAGGATTTCTTAGTATTTTCTTCAGATATTTGTGGTGTAATTAAATGCAGGCATGTTTTTAATAGGTTTTGTACTGTAAAACAATATTTTGTTGCTTTAACTTGAAATTTTAAGGCAGCCAGGTTACTTCATTTTTTAAGTTCATTGAATTGGAAAAATTGAGTTAATACAACAAAGGAGATTGATTTAATCATCAGAAGCTCAAAATATTATGTTATCTGAGCTGCATAAATAATTTAAGTTGATTCGACAAAAGAAAAATTGTTGTGATTACAAATCATGAACATATTTTTTTACAGTGTAGAAAAAACTGAATAACTGAATTCCCAAATATGATAATAAATGTGTGAACATTTTTAAATAATAATCTCAAAAAAAGGGAATCAAGTGCATTGCCTACGTACATCAATCAGAAAGTTCCCTTAGATTCATTGCATAATAACAGAGGACGCCATACATCAGTGGATAAACATGTTTTCCCTCCACACGATGTTCTTGCACATCCTGTTCTAGCCATTAGTGTTTGCTGTGACAGGCTTTCATAAATGCTTGGAAAATGCAGGCTTGGAAAAAATTTATAATTCCCCCTATTCCTTCTCCACTGCTAAAAATAAAGCATTCACTACATTGATCATTTCTTATACCGGTACATTCTCTCAATCACTGGAACTGGAGAACTGGCAAAGAAAAAGCATTCACTGAGGTCAACGTCACCTACGGAGAAATTACACCAAATTGGAAAAGCGTAGGGTAAACTTTGCTGTAAATTAGAGCCTATGATTGCTGCTTTCTTTGTTATTTAAATGGTGCTTGACACAATAATGTTCAATGCATTAAGAAATTCCAGTGTTCTAGGGTTAGTTTGCTGGTTTCATTTTGCACTTTTATAAGGCAAGTAACACTACTCTATTGCTCATACTAAGAGTTTGAGATTTGAACATCCCCTAACCTTAAATATTATTGTAACACTTAATATTTAGATGGTCCCTTATAAACATCCTGTTGACTACAACTACATGTCAACTAACTGTCATTAGAGTATTAGTAGATTGTCTGCTTAATATCTGTAAACTCTTTCTTGTGAAGGTCCTTCAACAGACAATCTACTGACTATAAACAACTTTGCAACTACATATCAACTTATTCTATCCCTAACCCTATCAGTCTATTAATACTCTTCAAAGAAAAAAAAGGTACAAAAGCTGTCACTGTGGCTGTACCTTTTCAAAAGGTACACTTCTGTACCTAAAGGGTGCATATTGGTACCTTAATGGTACACATTAGCACCTAAAATGTACATATTAACACTTAAAATGTACACATTAGCACCTAAAATGTACATATTAGTACTGTATTTTAGCACCTAAATGTACATATTAGCACCTAAAATGTACATATTGTACATATTAGCACCTGAAATGTACATATTAGCACCTAAAATGTACATATTAACACCCTAAAATGTACATATTTGACATATTAGTACCTAAAATGTACATAATTTAGGACCTAAAATGGACAAAAAATTACCTTATGAAAAGGTACAGCCCCAGTGACAGCTTCAATACCTTTTTTGAGTGTACTAACACTCTAGTGAGAGTTAGTAGACATGTAGTCGCAACGTCAACAGAATGTGTTAAAGGGACCATCCAAATAAAGTGAAACCAAAATGACTTCTGTAAACAACCCTATGACGAAGCATAGTTTTATCGCGGTCGGTTTTGCACAAGCAACCCTAATTCATTCTTCAGAAGAGGTAGAAATCTTATTTACCTGTACAACCTTCCCCTGCGGGCTCTCTGAAAAAACGAGGACTTGATTGTAAAGGGGATCTAGCGATTTCCGAACAGACTTTGTCTTCTTTTTGGCAATGCAGATGCCATTTTCCAGAAGATACACTTTAATATAGGCCGCTAAAAAGGAGGGAGGAAACAAAAGATATAATAGTTCAAACGGCATCCCTGAAATCTGGAAGACACTGAAAATCACTTCAAAGACCCGAGCCACCAATTTAGACTTTTCAATGTCCCTTCTTTTTTTCAACAAACACACACTTCTGGATAATGAATGCTCAAATAAGAGGAGAACAATCACAGTTTGGATCTAAGAGAAACTTGTGTATTTGAGAACCAATCTATAAACATTTCCAGTCAGTTTTGTCCTCTGGCTAAACAAATGTAATGGTTCTGTCAGACTCATCGCTCAGTACGTCAGGCTCTGTCTGATGAAGAATCACCTGGAGGGCCCTTAGATCCAGGCTTCATGATGAGTCCTCGAGCCTGAATGATCTCCACCTCTAGCTGCCCGTTCCTCTCCATCAGTCCGATCTCTACATCTCCTGCGAAACATCAATACACACATTAAACAGTGGCAAGTGATATGTGGGAGGATACAGGTCAACTGACTTGATTTCTTCCTTTTTCAAGAGCATTGTGTTGATCCTAGCTGTAAAAAATAATCCTGTAAAAAAAAAAAAACGGTAAACTACTGGCAGCTGTCGTTGCGAGCATCATACCGTAAAAATATGGTGTGTTACCGTTTTTGAAATTAACAGCTAAACAGCATAGCTGACAAAACAGTATTTAGCTGTTTTAAAACGGTAACACCATATTTTTACGGTACGATGCTGGCAACCACAGCTGGCAGTAGTTTACCGTTTTTTTTACAGTGTGTCACTGACAATTGCAAAAAAAATCTCTTGCAATCTCATCTATTGATTATGAACTGATAGTTCTAGTCTTATGCTGATTGGTCGATACAATATTTTGGCTAAATGGCTGCTATGCAGTAACAGATGCTCAGCATCCACTCTATTATTTGCACTCCTCCAACAAAATCGGTAATCATAATTGATTTCTATAATTTTACATCACTTGAGAATGAAATAAGCACTGGTTAGCTTTCAGTGACCATTTCTTGTAATTATATCCTGCTCGATCGATATTACATTTAGCTTTTTTTAATAAACTGTTTTTGTCAGAGGTTTAATGAATTGTTTTTTTCATTATAAATTCTTAGAAGCACCGAGACGGAAAAGCATATTTATTTTTATACATCCTAATTTCCAAGTATTTAAAGGGATACTTCAGGATTTAGCATTAAGCTTTGTATAAGTAGAAATCCTGTAGTATTTTCGAATTACCGTGCTTTCCATCCTCATATCCCCCTAAAACGGAAGATTTATGTATTTTTTGTCTGGAGAAAAATCGTCATTTTGGGCGATCTCGAAACACATTTGTGGGCAGACTCATCACAGAGACTCACTAGTAGCCTAGACTTGGTGTTTAACTACTGCGCTCTGTTACCGGTAGGCGTGGCCTCCTAGGGCAGCGAAGCAAGTGCATTCTGGGATTTGTTGTCTTTCATCCACATATTCCAAAAATACATTTTCAGCCTTTTCTCGGTCTAGAAAGCTCAAAATTCCAAAATAATTTCACATTTCTTCTACATAAATTATCCATTTTATACACATTCATCTTTCCAGAGGTGAAGTATCCTTTTAATTGAATATTTTGTTTAACAAACAAACCTTTTGGCAAGAAGCTCTGACAATTACAAACCATTTGTCGATTTTTGTATAACCTGTACCTGTAGTACATTAAGAAGTGATGTACTGTAGCATCAATTGTCTGGTGTATAAATGCACTCACCCAATGAAGTTGTAGCTAGTGTCTGTCTCCCCACAAACTGAGCCGGTCCCATCCCATCCAGAAAGTCACCAAACTGAGCATCTGATGCCAAACACATTCCACTGTAGTTCAGACTAAAGGGAAGAAAACAGGACAGTGTTAATGTGAACATTTGTACTCATTTTATTTAAAGGTTTATAATGCACTCTAAAAAATGCTGGGTTGTTTTAACCCAACTTTGGGTCAAATATGGACTAACCCAGCCATTGGGTTAAATTTTTACATTACATTTTTAACCCAACATTTCGGGTTTGTCCATATTTGACCCAATATTGGGTTAAAACGACCCAGCATTTTTTAGAGTGTGAGTGCTGTGTTTTGTCGGCCACATATTATGCTGGATAGAATATACTTAGAAGTATAGAAGTTCAGTGCAATTTGTTCATTTTGCACTCTCTTTAAAGTAAAAATTATCTGGCTTTCAGAATTGATCACATTTATCTGTATCTTTGAAGATGCTAATGAAATTTTCACATTAGCTGAACATGACAGACATTAAGAGTTTTGCTTTATTCTGTGATGTCTGGACTTATAATGTCATGGCTCTGTGATGGGACGGGATCGGTGGACGGAAGGCACTTCTCTTTTATGTAATGAAGATAGACAGCCTTTAAGCTGGACAGTGAAGCTCTGCTTTGATTGTGAGAGTGCTCCACTGGAGCAAAGCCAACACAGACACATATAATCACACTGCTTTCCTGCTCCTATTTGAGATGTATGTGGCCAGAAACATTCATTATAACAGTATATGTGTGTTTAGGAGATGAGCCCGATGCTCCATGTCATATTCACCCTCGTGACCCCTTGAAATAGGAGGCCTGGCCCTCATCGAATAGCACGGCGGTGACTGGACGCTTTTTCATCAGCCTTGGTTTCCGGAAATGTTTTTCTGATTACTTTTACCCCCAAAAAGTCTTCCGTAAATCACTCTAAGCCTTAATAAAATCAACAAGCTCCAATTCGAATAAAATACGAAGCAAAAATACAAAGGTACAGTACAAGACTAATGTGCACTTGATGTATTTATTGATTGAATAAACTAGTCTTGTATGTATGTATGTATAAACTGTATATAGTTTTCAGATATATATTTTCTTTTGTCAAGTCAACTTTATAATAATTGATTTAGTTGAGATAACTTATTATTTTGAGTTTCTGATGGTTAAATTAATCTACTTCATTGTATTAACTCACTTTTTCCAGTTCAATCAACTTAAAATTTTAAAGCAACCAGGTTACTTACTTTTTTAAGTTAAACCATCAATATTTTTTTACAGTGTAATCACAACATTTTTTCTTTTGTCAAATCAACTTAAATAATTTATTTAGTTTAGATAACATATAATTTTGAGTTTCTGATGATTAAATCATTCTCCTTCATTGTATTAACTCACTTTTTACAGTTCAATGAACTTAAAATTTTAAGGCAACCAGTTTACTTACTTTTTTAAGTTAAACCATCAATATTTTTTTTACAGTGTACACTATTATACTACATATACACCATCTTATCATATATATATATATATAAATGTATATATATATATATATAGTAAAAGTTACAGGTACACACACACACACACAAAGAAAAAGTATACTTCGGCAGTATATATATATGATATTAATAATATTATTAATTATTCATATACTGTCAAAGAAATGGCCATGTTCTTGTCTCATTTCTAATGTTTCTCCTTTGCCAAGCCCCTTATTTTCTTTTTTACTCCTCAGTTAAAATTGACTTAATTTCAGCTATCTACACAGTGAAGAAGCTCATATTTGCTTATTGTTGCTTTTTCACATTTTTTCAGCAAACAGAAGGTAGCCGCTTGTGCATGGATGAGATTAATTAGGTGCAATTTTTGTAACAAGAGATCCATTTTGAAACAGATGGTGGTGAAAAAAAGTTTTCCTTCAGCAAGAAAGAAAGGTCACTTGGGCCAAAAATGGGAAAGGGGTGCTTATTTGAGCCCAATGTAACCACCCTGCTCTGTACATCTGCTGACATCAGGTGTTTAAGATGTAATGCCACATAGAAGTTGAAATAGGGCAAATTTGATGTGGCTGTTGTTGTAACTTAAACTGTCCGGCACAGCAACATTGGCTCAACCAATGGCCCGAGTTTGTTTTGGCCAACCAATGTTCAGGAAACCTGTTTGAAAATAGTCATTATTTTTGTAGTTCTGCAAGAAATTACACACATTTCATCTGTAATTATGTCAGTTTAAAAAAAGAAATTGATTGCATTTTTAAAAGCTATCCTTAGTTGTCTTATATCACATTCTCATTCAAGCCTCCTTTCAAACCCGTCTCTCCATTCGCATTGCTCTGTGTTTGTTCTCAATAACCCTCCACACTAATGTGGACGGATTCATAATTAATTTTCTTTCTGCGGTTTGACCTCGATTCTCTCCGGCGCTCTGTCTCTTTTGCTTGCCATCTTCACAGGTCTATTTTTAAAATGCTTTTGGGAGGGTCCAGACAATCCTGATGCCTAATACTCAGACTGGGCATGCCAAGAGACGCCATTTTCATCCGCTCTTCGTTCTCTTGCTCATTTTTCATTTTATCCTGTCTCTTTGTCCCATGTCAATATCTACTTCATCATTTAGTCTCTCGTCTGTTGTTTCTATCCGCTTGTCTCTCTGTTCTTTAAGGAATAGTCATCATTTACTCGCCCTGATGTCGTACCGGAACCTTTTAGAACACACACTGGGAATTTTTGAAGAATCTTCATATAACCACACCAATCATTAGAGATTCATAAAACAAGCAGTGTTGTAGTCGAGACCACCTCACTCGAGTCTGAGTCAAGACCGAGTCCATAGAGAGTCGAGTCCGAGACCAGAGACGGTCGAGTCCGAGTCGAGACCGAGACCAGTGAGGGTTGATTACCTAATTTACTTTTATTTACTTAGAGAAATCCTTTTTTTTTTTTTTTTTTTTTTTACTAAATGTACTTAGAGTTTAAAAAATATGATCAGTTTAGGGTAAAAAGGCCACATAGTAGGTGGTGTTAAAAGTAATTTTATTACAATTTGTCATGCGCAGTTGCGCACTAGAAAATCACCAATCACTGGGCGTGTCAATCAATTTAAAGACATATTTTATTAACATACATTAATAATCATGAAAAATATTTTTAATTGAACTCGAGTGGACTCGGGAATAATTCCGAGTCCTAAAAAAAAAATGTTCGAGTACGAGTCAATTCCGAGTCCAAATGCACACGAGTCCATGACAAGACCAAGACCATTAAAATATGGTCTCGAGTACTACAACACTGAAAACAAGTATTTTAAACAACTTACTTTCACTATAATAATATATTCAAAATAAGTATTTATTTGTCTTTTAATTTTACGATTAAAATATGAACAAATAATGTTACTTGAGAAGCAACACTTTTTAACTATAAATAGCAAAATACACTTAAACAAGCCTTAAGATTTTATTAGTCAATTTAGTTTGTTTGAAATATTGGTTGATTTACAGTCATTCAAAAGTTTTGGAAATTTAATAAATTTACTTTTTCTTTTATTCCATAAGGACGTCTTAAATTGTTAAAAAAAAATTAAAATATAAAATATAAATAAATATAAATATAATTTATTTCAAATGTAATATTTTACAGCATTACTGTTTTTACTGTATTTTTGATCTAATAAAGGCAGTCTTGAGGCTTCTTTTAAAAATATTAAACTGTCCTTGCAAACCCAAACTTTTGAACGGTAGTGTATTTTCTGGCAAGGCAAAAATGTATAAATGTACAAAAAAACTATATTTATTCAGTGTTGAAGCCATATGATAACAAACCAAAAGTGTTTAAGTGCATAATAGCTTCAAAAACAACTTAGCTAAAAAAAAAAAAAAGCTAAAGAAGCAAATGTATGATGCCATTGCTGTCATATTTTATTGCGGATTAAAATGTGTTATTTAAACAATCTTGACATAAGCTTTGACTTTCCCATTCAAGTAGACAGAATCTGTACTTGTGGAAATGGGTGAAATTGACATAAATGTGTGAAATAGGCTGCATTAATATTCTTCAAAACATCTTTTGTGTTTCACAGAAGAAAGAAATTCATACAGGTTTGGGATAACATGATGGTGAGTAAATGATGACAGAATGTTCCTTTTTGGAAAACTATTCCTTTCCCTCATCATGTGACATTTCATCGTTCTATCTTGCAAAAAGGAGTCATTATTACTCACTGGTCCCTGTGTGCAGTGGCGTCAGCAGCAGCCATCAGTAAACACACATACATTACTACAAACACTTCGGCGAGTGACAAATACACCTTTCACCGCTCCACATATTACACGCCGCATTCTTGATGTCACTCGAATAAACATTTGTCTGTGTTATGTGTTAATCATGGCGTCTCAGCGCACTGCTTTCAATTGCTTTATATATCACTGTCTCCACGCTGTTCTTCTGGCACTCATTGCATGCAAACTTTTTAAACAGATGCTGCATTCTTGCATGCAGGATTATGTACAAGAGTTAGTGTTGACCAGAAGAAGGTGAAAAGTATGTAGGGAATGTTTCTGCATCTAAAATAGAGTGCAGAGATGTCAGCTTATCTTTGAATGTGGAAGAAAATGGAGATGATCTTCTGTTCAAACTTGACATCACACTCCTTAATTATACAATTAAGCACACACTTTTCAAGCAAAACATTTTTAAATGATAAAACGTGTATATATATATATATATATATATATATATATATATATATATATATATATATATTAGGGCTGTGCAAAAATTAATTGCGATTAATCGCATCCAAAATAAAAGTCTGTGTTTACATAATATATTTGTACGTGCTGTGTATAATTATTTTGTAAATATAAATACATATGCATGCATGTATATATTTAAGAATTATTTGCGCTTAAATTCTGTATATATAAATACAAAATCTATATTATATAAATATAAATATTTTATATATGAATAACACATTTTCTTAAATTTATACATACATGTGTGTGTATTTATATATATATATATAAAGTAATTATATAATGCACACACAAATATATTATGTAAACAAAGACTTTTATTTTGGATGCGATTAATCGCAATTAATTTTTGCACAGCCCTAATAAATATATATATACAAACACAGTTCATAATTAAGTATTTCGACACTTTTGGTTGTCAAACGCCAAACCTGTGGTGACTTTGTTAAAACACCTGTGCATTGACACTGATAGTTTCTGACAAAATGCAGTATACCAAATATGATTTTATTCAGGACATCTATGATCATATTTTTGGTCCATGCACCAAAGCAGTTCTGCTTTTGGCATAATAATTAGAGCACTTTTTGCTTTCTAGGGCATTTTGACAGATCCATTACATAAATGTCACTCAAGTGACCTCTTTCAAACTTCCTGCTCCCCAAAAGATGACTTTACTGATAAAAGTGGGAGTTCAGGCAAGATATTTGTAATTTTAACTGAGAAACATTTATATCTTTATATCATTTATATCTTTGTAAATATAACTGAGAAAGTGCATCAGTCTTTAATTTAGATTCATACTATTTTTGTTTTAATAACACAAAAGCACAAGAAACTATGCTTCTGTAAAACAGGTGCAGCCAGATTATAGAATACTTTTTTCATTTTTTTATTTTTTTGTTATACAATTTCAATTTCACTTCCACATCAATTAATATGACACACGACAATACTGCAGTGCATCAGTTTTGTTCTTTCTATTACTTAGTCCCCCAACTCTGATTTATTAATGCTCTGTTAAATTGTAATATTTTCAATGTTTTTATATATCTTCTCGTCATAATGTTTTAATACACTTTTAATATCATGATTTATAACATCATAAAAGTGTTTAAGGGCAAAAAGCCCAACTTTATCTAGCCTTAAAGGCAAGTTACAAATAATATCTAATGGAAACAGCATAAATTAGACCCTAGATACTGAATAAATATTACAGAAACTTCCACAGAAGTCTATCAAAAAATACCATGGAATCAAATCAACCTTGCCCCATGATTTTCCATCACTGTTGTTTGTCAGAACTCAGACAGCGGGTGTGTATTTCAAAAATGTTTTTACTCCATTATGTATTCATGAGAAGCATAAGATGCAATGTAATATGGTAAAATATCCTCAGCAGTGGCAGCAAAAACTGTAACCCCATCATGCACCATAAACTGTGCAGTAATCCGGCTGAATTGGGCTGGATTTGACTCCCATGATGGAGTTGCACAGGAGGAGTGTTCGTATTCTGCATTATGTAAGGTTTATGGGGAGTTTTTGTCTGTGAATTACTTATCTCTGGGTATTGGACATGGAGTTTGAGGGGAAATTTATACAAAATTGACCATCGGTTGAGCACAACGTATTGCTATTTTTATGTAAGTGAACATACTGTTTTGAAGTGAACCACACGAGCACATTTCAGATGTTTTTGTCATAAATGTATCTTTTTTTTTTATTGTTTTGCCTTGGACATCATGTCATCTACTTTAGCATTTGACAACCACAAAGTACTTGTTTAGTCTTCGTTTTGAACTAAATATCTATTGCTTAACCATCATGTTTTGTTTGAAATGTAAAATAAATGACACTTTCTTAAAGGGATAGTTCACTTTGCTGTGGTTACAAGCGATTTAAATACTGTTCGTTTTCTCACACAAACCGCTCGTTTCATGTCTTATGCCATCAATGTGTACTTACATTCACGAGTCATTAAATCATGTTTAATTTGGACTTCTCTGTGCATGCTCTTTGAGGTGGTGACCATAGACCTCCATTATATGACTGACAGACAAGAACGGTTTGACCTAAAAATATCAAGATACTGCAGAAACAAAGACACCTACATCTTGGATGCCCTTGAGGTATCCTAAAACATAGCAAAAATTATTTTCAAAGTGAACCATCCCTTTAAATATTTTTTGTTATCTAATGCAACGACTAGTTTGCCTGTAAATTTCACAGATAATTACAAAGAAGTATAATGCACAGAAATTACTCTAATAATCTTTCATTTATTTAAACATTTGAAAAATCTCTTTGCCGTGCAGTGCAGTACTAGTTGATAATCAGTTTGTTTAATGCACTAACATGATAAAACTGTAGCTCATCTAGGCAGAAAAGCATATTTGTCTGAACAAGCCCAAACTGGCAAATATCTTCTCCATTTATGTATCCAAACTTTCTGGCACATCAGAACTGAAGTTAAACAGCTATTGTCCTCCACAGAGCTAAAATAAGACTACATCGCACAAAACCCTAAACCTGTGGCTTTGAAGTGACACACCAGACGGTGTCCAGATCTGAAATAAGTTTACAGTACGTCTACACACAATTCTGGATTTCATTCAGAAATGGAGGCAGCAGAGAAAAGGTTTATTACTGAGAGAGGGGTTTATATGGTTGGTTATGTAACTTATGGGAATACCTCAAACACGTTTTATTTATTGCTTGACATAGCAGACATAAGCGCAATCTCCTGACAGTAAAGACACTTTTAATGCTTTTCTTGTGTTATTGGATGAGCATTTCTGTTTATAGATGAATGCAATGCAATAACACATGTAGTGTGTCCCAAAATAACAATGATATAACTAGGAGCATTAAGTCCAGAGGGTACATGTAATGATTCTGATTTTGATTTGTTAAACTGATAAAACAGAAATGTATTATATATCTCATGTTTTTTTTTTTTTGTTGTTGTTGTTGTTTTTTTAGCTGAAAAAAAATAAAGATTTTGTATTTGTAGCTGGATATAAACAAAGTGTACAAAGGTATATTTGTGTTTTTTCTTTACTCATCTCACCTGGGGCCTCATGCATAAAACTTTGCGTAGATTTCATCCTTAAAGTGTGCGTACGCACATAAGGCAGAATTTGCGTACGCACAAAAGTTTTCAGATTTATAAAACCGTTCGTACGCCAGAACCTGCGCAGAATTCACTTTATAAATCCCAGTCAGCGGGAGATTATGCGCACGTGCGTCTCCTCCCCGAAATAACCATATATGGAGATTACAACGCCTAGTTTTACTATGCATATCCTCATCTGCATATCATTTGCATATGATTATTCATCCACGTGATACCAAGTTTAACGGTACAAGACGTTAGGAAAATATGAAATGCGGATGTGCCGTCACATTATTACAAACATTTTTTTTTTGTAGCCTATATCCTTGCCTTGTTTTTGAATGAATAAATCAAATAGTGTTAAATACATTTCAGAGAAAGTTTTTCTCAATCTTTTCCACTGGCCAAATAGTATTTTTAATTGATTTATATTTTAATGGATAATGGAAGAGATTTTAATGGAAGAGATAGACATGGTTGTGCATTATTTGCACGAAACAGTTTTCTCAGACAATCTGTAGTTAAAACATTAAAACACAGCATGCCAGAAGAAAAGTGTTCAAAAGCAATGTATCCACAACAAATAGGTCTATTTCTATTTATTGAATATATATATATATATATATATATATATATATATATATATATATATATATATATATATATATATTGTAACTTCTCAGTAGGCTAATGATTTCATGTAGTTTAAGAGTTTAACTCCATTAATGAGAATGGCATATTTAATCTAAATGTTTATATCAGAAGTAAAACATAGTACCATTCTTTTATTTATTTAAACTATTATTGTGAATATGGACTGTATTTATGATTTGGACTCATAATGAAGATTTACGGTTTTACTCCATCTGCCGTTAGATTATAGGCTATATGTGCGTCAGTTTCACTAAACGGAACGCGCGTGCTGGCGCGGTCATTTAAGAAGGGATGGATGTTTGCTTCAAGTGATAGGTTTGTGAAATTATATTTGTATTATCTTTCTGTAGATGTATAATTTTCTTTAGATTCTCTGTCTAATAGTGAGCAAAAAGACATTTGACTCCAGCTCACCATCGGTGTCGCCAAAACCCATAATCTTCTAAAAGAGTGCGTACGCACGGTCAAGAGCATCCTTACGGTGCGCACTTATTTACGCCAAGTTTATTTTTTATAAATCCCGATGTGCACGTGGAAAAATGCGTACGCATATTTCTATGCCCATTTTGTGCGTACGCAACGTTTATACATGAGGCCCCTGGACTTTTCGGTAACTCTTCCTTTTACAGTACAGTACAGTGTACTTACCTAGAAAGTACTGCTAATATAAGGTAAGTACATGGAACAGGGGTAGGTTTAGGGGTAGGTTCAGGGTTAGTACTAGTTATTACCCAGTAATTGTAGTTACTAAAATAAGTACATAGTATTAACATGGGTAACTGGACTGTAAAGGGAAGCGTTACCGACTTTTCCTCAATTTTATACAACAGTCCTTCCTAATTTTATCCCATCAAATATATCAGCCAATCAAACCGACAACAATCTGAAAGCGGTTGCAAAATAACAGATTTTAGAGGAGAGGAAGCATCTTCTTTGTGAATGTTTTTTACCCTCAGTATTATTTGTTGTAAAGTGAGTCGTTGTGATATTAATGCATTTTTTAGGTTATTAAAATGTTCTTCACACTAAGAAAAATACAATTATTTGAATAACTCTTCACTGAAAGGTTCTTTAGGGATCCAGAAATGGCATTGACGGTTCTTGACTCGATTTTCAAGAATGCTTAGTGACAAAAAGGTTCTATATAATGAGAAATGTCTCAAATGATTGCATGTTTTTTTCTAGTGATGAAGTATGCTAATTATCTGCTTAATTAATAACATTTAATGAGAAGTTAAAAATGAATTAAAACTAAAATCCCTGAAAGGTATATGTAAGTTTCTATAGAACTTTTTATTCTAAGAGTTTGTATATATATGGTGGTGTTGTTGGTTGTGTCAGACCTTACTGATGAATCTATAAGGATACATTGATTTCTGATACTCACTTTCCCTCTGAGCCGTAGCTGTTCATGCTGTCCTCGATGGACTCGTGGCTCGCCTGCCGGACCGTTCGACTGGGCATCTCTACAGCCAACCCTGTTTCTGTGCTCCTCTGAATGCTCTTTAACCTGCGGCCCTCAGGGTCTGAAACAAGGAAAGAAGGGTAAGTTCATCAAACCAAGGTTTAATTCATATGATGTTTTTCTTCATATTTTTAGCTTGTTGCCTACTGGCTGAAGTCTCTTTGATTTGTAGTCCCTCCTTCAATGTAAATTTGTGGGATTTTATGTCTTATTGCAGTTGGTAAAATCATCATACCTCTCTTCATTAAGCTACATGATTTAAGGTATCATTCATGTATGTAAAAATGTAAATTGCTGCCGTCCATTTAAAAAATACAGTACATTTAATTAATTTGATTTAAGTACATGTTAAAAAATCATTTTGAATGAATGATTAACTCACTTATAAAGACTTTCATTACTGGATGTATTGGTGTTTTTGAAAGAACCCTTGAACGAATGATTCAATGACGAATACATTTTTTAGCAGTCACTTGTCGCCACCTACTGGTGTGATGATGTAATTAAAACAGTCTTTATTTGAACGTCAGGTTTCTTACAAAAGTTGATTTACTCTATTTTGATGGCTTCCGTGGAAATCAGTGTTTATATCCGAACCATAAACTTTTATCCCAGTATGTCTGTGATAATATGAATATTTGTAACAAAGAAATAACAATACAGTGTGGCCAAAACGACTGTTTGGGAAGCCGTTTCACGCCAACGCAGATCTGAATTTGGCAAAGGTTTCGAATCGCTGTCATTTAGTAATGAGGTTGTGTGTAAAATGCTCTAATATGTACTGTATGGTTATGTCTTTTTTCCTTAGCAAGCACCACAAATGATAGTGAAATATCTCTGATATTCTTGTATTTCTGTCAGAGCAGCAAGGCACTGGAAAAAGCAAGTTCTTTCAAATCCTCTCCATATCAGCGAATGAAATGTTGTGATAACATTGCTGTCAGGTAGAGCACTGCTGTATTAAAAATAAATCCTTTAGAAAATATAATCTTCTTGTATAATTCAAGTGTGTAGTGGTGCCTTATTGAACTCAGGCTCAGAGAACAGATTCACAAAGCCTGAACTTTTCCTAGTAAAGGTGAAGGGGATCAGCCGCAGACTGATCGCTTTACTAGCCCATGACCTCATGAATATATTTCCATTCAGAGAATGATTTTCAGAGTAATTTCAAAGCTAGATATCATTTCATAATGGGCTTTTTCCCCTATTCCCTATATTCCCCATATACATCAACATAAAACATGACCCATTTTACTGTACTTCCGCAGACTAACCTACACTCTAAAAAATGCTGGGTTGTTTTAACCCAACTTTGGGTCAAATATGGACTAACCCAGCCGTTGGGTTAAATTTTTACATTACATTTTTAACCCAACATTTCGGGTTTGTCCATATTTGACCCAAAATTGGGTTAAAACAACCCAGCATTTTTTAGAGTGTAGTTAGTGGTATAGATGGTGACCCTGATTTCACCAAGTGCAACAAGTAACATCTTTGTTGATCCTGAAACAGCATTCCAATCAACCAATCAGATTTGAGGAACAAGCTTACAGTTTATGTCAAGTTTAGGCTTACAACCAGGGTTAGATGCTTCTACATCAGTGCTATTCACCTAGAATTTCCCATTGATTTTAGGGAAAACATATGGGTTTAAGACTAAATTTTGGGTAAAAGGCAAAATCACTGTGACCTGTATTAATATTCAATGAGGTTGAATTTTTGATGTCCAAATTTTATTTTATACATACATAAATACATACACACTCACAACATTGAAGGTGAAAACACCATGAGTACACTATTTTTTTAATGTTTTGATCAAAAAAACGTAAAAACTAATAATGTAAAAATCATTCTAATATGCTGATTATCTGTTCAAGTAAAAAAAAAAAAGAAAAATATTATTTTTACAATATTATTACCAATGTAGAAAACAGTTGTGCTGCTTACTATTTTTGAGGAAACAAAACGTGATACTTTTTTCAGGATTCTTTGATGACTAAAGTTCAAAAGAACAGCATGTATTTTACATATACATGTTTTGTAACTTTATAAATGTCAGTTATAATGTACCAGCAGAAATGAAGATATAAATATACTATAGTCATCACTGAAAACACGTAATCCATTGAAACGTGTTCTCTCTGCATGGACACGCTCACTCTGTAGTGATGGGAATCCAGCCATTTTCACAGCTCTGTCCTGGCCGTGAAGCACATGACCTAGTTAGGCGGTTCCTAAAAATACAGTCCTCTTTTCTCTCTTCCTGCGTTTCTGGTGCGGTCGGCACATGCTAACTAGCATGTCATCGTAACCTTCCAAAACAGAACATCGTGTATCAGGAAACGCACTAGAAATGCCAGGGTTGCTATGGGAGACAAGAGCAGTGTGCTTCAATGGATTTATCGCTCTCTCTTTCTCTCTTGCAGTGTTTATTTAGTGAACATGCTTGAAACAATGATTTAATCTTTCTACAAAAAACTCTGTGGGCAAAAACTTGATTTTTACATGTGCATTGTACATGCAATTGTCAACACAATCCTAGGGTCTTCAGTGTGGCCTCCAGGGTGTTGCTAGGATCGGTTTTAACATGCTTCTATGTGGCTGCTTGGGAGTTGATTCAGGGCAGTTGTTAAGTGGTTCCTGGAATGTTCTGGGATTTGTATGGTGTTTAGGGAGTTCTAAGTGGTTGCTTGGTGGATTCCAGGGTGTTGTTAAGTGGTTTCTAGGATGTTCTGGGTGGTTGCTAGGTGGTTGCTAGGGATTTGTTTGTTGGTGTCTATGGAGTTCCAAGTGGATTGCCAGGGCGTTGTTTGGTGATTTTTCACAGTATGAGCAAAAATGAATTGGCTCTAAAACACTCAATCTGTACATTTATTATATCTTGTATAAGTGTGATGTTTCTGATCCCTGGACATCTCTCACCAACGCTTGCAATTACAAGTAGGTCTCACTGACAACAACAGATAAAGTATCTCATTTCATCATATGGCCAACACTCATTAATCAAAGTGACATTCATGAATTTACTGCAAAAAAAGAAATAAATAAGAGGCTTTTCTAACAAGCCCTTTTAGTTGCTGTCTCATCTTGCTTGTGGTTTATGACCCACACTTGTCAGGTGACAGAGTGTTTAGATTTAAGGGGTGGTATAATGCGCATTTCACAAGATGTAAAATAAATCTCTGATGTCTCCAGAGTGTGTATGTGAAGTTTTAGCTGAAAATATCCCACAGATATTTTTTATATAGCATGTTAAAGTTGTCACTTTTTGAGGTTTAGCAAAAACGCTCCATTTTGTGTCTGGCCCTTTAAATGCAAATGAGCTGCAGCTCCCGACACAGTGGGCGGAGCTTCAAGAGCGTGTTCAAGAGTGCAGCTCTGATTACCTCACGCAGTGCACGCAGACACATGCTAAAATGTTAGAAACAGTTCTGCCTTTATGTTTAAATCGGAGTCAGACAAAGATGGAGAGACTAAGAAGAAGTGACAACATGTAGAATGCAACAGGACATCTCTGAATGGTTAGTTGATGAATTTATGTTGCTATGTGGTGTTAACTATCTTCAATTAACGTTTAACATTCTGTCAGGGTTTTCACGATGAGTCATCAATCCGGAAGTCGGCCATTTTGGAGGCACAGAACATAAACAATGCCATTGAACTGAAAGGACTCGCAAATTTGGCTGATTATTTCTACTAAAAATGGTCGAGTTTTGGTATGTACTAATCGGCCGCATCGGGAAAATGTCTTTCGAGTTCTATAGACTGCCAAATGTTAAAGAGAAGAGTGCAAAGAAGGCGTTTGTGGTTGAAAGAGTCACAGCATCAGCTCATCAGCCACAGGTGTAACGTTAAATAAAGCTTTGACTATGGGTAAAATGTTAACGTATTAACTATGGCAACATTCACACTGTCAGTCTAAATCCGTTTATCTTTGTATCCGATTGGAATCTGATCTAAAATGATGTCCACACTGTGTATCGCAGCTGTTCAGATCCGATTTGTGAGTCCATGCAGCTCTCGGGCAATACGGCACTGACATTGATGCTGATGGAGGGGTTTGCATTTGCAATAGAGAGATGTTTTCTTATTTAATTTTTACAACACATATATTGTGTAGCCACTGCCGCGTTGGACTATATTGTATATTGAGCTGCAGAACTGTAGGCTGTTATGTAACGTAACAGCTTTTTTTCGCGCTCTTGTCTGCACCGGTTTCAATATATGTTTCAGAAATAATATTTTTTTCTGCTCGTCCGGCACTTTGCAACAACACAGCATTGTTTTGGCAGCGACTTGCAGGCAGCATGTCTCCTCTAACAACCACTGACGTTTACATTTTATGTGCCGTGAAAGTCGTATACCATCCGAAATCCGATTGTTCAGACTGAGGCATATGTCCTGGTATTTGAATAGGATTTCAAACCACATATGGATGTAGCTTGAAACAGATTTCATGTGCTTTTTTGGGCTGACAATCTGAACGTAGCCTATGTTGGGATAAGAAATAGAAGGAAGAATTGCAGTAGGGCTAGAGAAGCTAGCTCGTGCGGACCTTTCCCACGTATTAACTTTAGTTTGTCAAAATATTGCGCTCTCTCCTGTCCTGCTTGATAAGTCCTTCTTTATATGATTTCGCACCTACCACAGATTTTTTTTTAGTGTAACAATGTGTTCAGTAGTACATACATATGTAACGGAGGCCAGCTAGTTGTTGCTGTGCAAGTAAACCTCACTCCTCTGATCTCAATAGGCGGACCCCTCTTCTTCTCCTTCTTCCTCTTCTCAACATGGACTGTGTTCCCAGGGGCGGGCTTTATGTAAATTTTAGGGTTAGTGTAGTGATGTCACTAACACAGGAGGAAGCTCATGTAGTTCCTACCAGCCGTTTGTTGTAGTCCTTAAAAAACGATTTCTTTAAAAGCAAATATCTCCCTTTGCTTTGAACTTTGAGCGTTGTAACTTTGCCGATGTTGTTTATACTCAAACAGCAACATTACACACTAACTAAAGTTAGAAAAGTGAAATCATAATCAACCCCCCCCCCCTTTAAAAGAA